TTCTCTATTCTAAGTAATTTTCTACGTTTTAGATTTCCTTCTATTTAATTTAAAATTTATTTTAACCTACCTTTACTTTCTATATTAGTTAGTATAATTATTAATAACTTTATTAATATTAGCCTAGTTTAACCCCCTTTAGAAGGAAGCCCCAGTATTATAGTATTTATTCTAACCCGCCTTTACTTTCTATGTTAGTTAGTATAATTATTAATAACTTTACTAATATTAGCCTAATTTAACCCCCTTTAAAAAGAAGCCTTAGTATTATAATATCCGTTCTAACCCGCCTTTATTTTCTTTGTTAATTAATATAATTATTAATAACCTTACTAATACTAGCCTAGTTTAACCCCCTTTAGAAGGAAGTCTTAATATTATAGCATCCGTTCTAATTTGCCTTTACTCTCTTTATTAATTAATATAACTATTAATAACCTTATTAATACTAATTTAATCCAACCCCCCTTAAAAGGAAGCCCTAGTATTATAGTATCTATTTTAGCCCGCCTCTATTCTCTTTATTAATTAGTATAATTATTAATAATTTTATTAATATTAACCTAGTTTAACCCCCTTTAAAAGGAAGCCCTAGTATTATAATATTTGTTCTAACCCGCCTCTACTCTCTTCGTTAGCTAGCGTAATTAATATTAACTTCTATTAATTTAACCCCCCTTAGAAAGAAGCTCTAACGTTATAATATTTATTTTAACCCGCCTCTACTTTTATACCCCCCCCCCCCTAATAGGTTCTATACTTTTAATAGAAGCTTCCGTTCTAAGTAACTTCCTACGCCTCGAAACTCCTTCTATCTAATTCAGAGTCTAATTTAAACGATAATAGCCTTTTTGTTAATTAATATAATTATTAATAATAATATTAACCTTATTAATACTAACTTAATCTAACCCCTACCCTTTAGAAAGAATTAATATTATAGTATCTATTCTAGCCTATTTCTATTCTCTTATATTTATATATTCTATAATTTCTAATCTCTTAAATAGAAGTTTCTCCGTCCTAGCTAATTTTCTACGCTTTAAAATTCTATTTTTAGGATTTATTTCTAAAAATAAATTAATACTTAGAGGACTTTAAAGCTTCGCTTAATTTTTTAATATCCAATTAACATTATTAGTAGCGAGATGTTTACCTCCTAATAACGTACTTACTCTGGAGTCTGCTAATATTATAACTTTATCGAAAAGGGGGTTTATATCTTTATCTACGTTAGGGTCTATATAAATCCGACGGAGGGATAATTAATTAACCCCTTATTAGATTTATATATATTAAATTAATATAAATAGAACTCCAATATAGGATATAAGTATATTATTTATATAAATCCAATAGGGGAAGAGTTAATTAATTCCCTCTATTAAATTTAAATATATTAAATTAATACATTCTATTAACTATAAATATATTAGTACTCTTATATTAAACCCTATATAAATCTTATTATATTATATAATTTTAGAATTAGTTCTATAAAAATACGAAAATTATACGGGACTAATAGGTAAATAGAGCGCCCTAAATTAATTCGGCTTTAGTTTATATAAATACTTAATATTTTATTGGGGATATATTATATTATTTTATTATTAAATTTAACCCTATTACTAAAATATATCCGTTTACCCTTATTATTACCGATAGCTATCTCTCCTATATCCTTCTCTATTTACCGAATACCCTTTTTAGGGTTTTAAATTATAATTTACTTATTTATTTATAATAGTCGGACTTCCTTTATATTGAACGTATTGAATTTTAATTCTAGTAATATAGTAAAATTAAATTATAGAATGTTAGGGGTATTAAATCCCGAGTAATTAGGTAGTTGAAAAGTCGTATATCCCCGACGTACCTACCTATTCTAATAGATTATATAAGTATAATTAATAATATCTTTATTAATAGATAGTTTTATATATTTACTTACTTAATACGTTCGTATATTATTTTTAATAACTTTATAAATAATTGTAGTATAAGGGCTAATAGTGGAAAGGCGGACGAATAGAATCTTCGTATTATAAATTGAATTCTTATTCTACTTAATATTAAAGGTAAAAAAAGTATTAATATATTCGAGAGTTATATTAATCGCTTTCTATTAATTATTAATTATAGAATACTATACTATATTAGAATATAGGATAGTATTAATAAGTGGTTCGTTTATAACTTCGGAGCGAAGTAACTATATTAAATAGAGTATTTTAGGCCTATAGTTATTTAATTTACTATTGTAAAATAGGATAGGAAGAAGATTTATTATTTGTTGGAGGATACTATAATTTTTTAAAGAGATAATTTTATTAAGTATAAGAAAAATACGAATAATTTAAAAGTAATAATAGATATTATAATAGCCTATATTTATTATACTCAAAGATATTTTATATTTAGATTAAGTAAATAGGGAAAAGACTTTATTATAAATAGAAAGAAGTTTCTAATTAATGAATTTTTTTCTAATATTTAATATAGTTCGGCGTATAGATGCTTCGGTAAGGTCGAATTCTAAAATAAGGCTATAATTAATAAATTTAGCAATAAGAAAAACTAAAATCTTAGAAGCGAATATATTTTTTAATAGAGACCGATTGTTATAGAATATAGTATTATATTATTTTACCTTCTTACCTCTTTTAAGGCCCTATATATTTTATATTACGAGAGGTTAAAAAACCTAAAATATTATATTAATATAATTTATAAGGATGTGAAAGAATGTAGGTACGGTAAGGATCTACTATTTACGATTATATACGTAGCCTGCCTCGAATTAATTAAGAATAATATAGCGAATAAAGGATATTATTTTCTAATCGCTATAGATAAGGATAAATTGGTCCCCGAAATTGTTTATATTAAGTCCGAGGATGTTAAAGAAGAATTTATTGTAAAATCGATAAATATTAAAGATTTTACCCTCATCCTCTATAATAGTAAGGGTTTATAGGATATAGTTTTTGGTAGTTTTTAGTTATTTAATAATTAGGAAGCGAGGAATAGACTATTATAATTTCCGCTTAATTATAGAAGTTAATCGACTTTTAATAAGATAGCGGGCCGTATTATCGAAGAATAATAGTATTACGTTTAAGTATATAAAAAGCTATTCTAATTGGAATTTAATATAGGGGCGCTACTAGGATGGTTTGAACGGCCCGTTAATATTAAGACTACTAATAAGGAGATAAATAGTAAGGTTCTATATTACGTCCTTCCGGCTAATTTTAAAACCTTATATATAGTTAATAAAATTAAAATTATTATAAATAATAACTATATTCGGGTTATAGCTAACTAATTTAAAATTTACCTATAATTGTATAAATATATAAAATAGTAATAAAAATATAAATATTTAAATCTTATAGGGGGATTCTAAGAGTCCCCCTATAGGATTTAAGTATTGAATTACGTACTATAGAAATATTAATAAGGCGGTTAATAGTTTATAAAGTAATTTTATAAAAAGAAATTATATTAAATTGAATTAGAGTATTATATACGTATAATTGTATAGAGTTACTCTTAAGGTAAATGCTAAGTAGCTTTGGAATAAATATATTATTTTAAGGTATATATAAATTTATAATAATAAACGCTATTATAATTATATAATTATAGATCTCTCTTTTTTTCTAAATACTATCCTTCAATTCGTACAAATCTTAATAGGTACGTTATTATATATATAATATAATAAGTAATTCTATTAATCTTAGTATAATTTTGGATATAATATTATAAATAGAACGGAAGTGAGAACGGATCTACGAAATATTAAATACGTCTTTAATAGTAGTAGGGTAGATTATATTACTAATTTTAATAAATTTATTAGTAGGAAAAGTATAGAATATTGGTTTATTTAAAAGAGATTTGAATTCTGTACGGAGGGTTTTATTAAAATATATTTGAAGTGTATGTTTGATTAGGGGTTGGGTTGGATATTCGTCTAATTTAGGTTAGGTTTCCTCCCTTTTTAATTAGTATTTAGTTTTATTCTTTTTAAAGTATATATAGACGCCGGTATTCGTAAGGATTTCACGTACTTTAGAGTATTGAAGTGCGTTAATAAATATTTTTAAACGTTTATTATACTATTAGAAAATATTTATCCTCCGGTGAATATATAAATAAATAAAGTAATATAATAGATTCGTCCGATAGTTCACTCTAATATATTAATAAATATTATTAAATAAACGTTAAATGTCTTTAATTTCCGTATTAGTATTAATATTTATTATAAATATATTTATAATAAATATATCTCTAGAATAGACTTTATTTATAGGTTAATTAGAGAGTTTTAGTAAATATTGAGAAAGAGTTTTATTAGACGATTTATTATATAATTCCTCTAGATAGTAGGAATTTTATAATTAGAACGAAGGTAGAGGAGATAAAAGAGTAAATATTAGTTAAGCTATTAAATATAATTAGTAGGATATAAGTATATTATTAAAATTAGGAAGGGTAGGAGAAGATAGTGCTAATAAATATATTGGTGTTGGATATAATTTAGCGCGCGTATTGTTCGTTTTGGGACTATGATATTTGGGGAAATTTGGGGAAATTTGGAGGTTTGCGCACAATGAACTATTTCATCTATATTAGGCTTAGACCGGAATATAACCGCGTCGTTTTGGACCTACAGGGCCAAATAGTGTAATGTCCGGATTGGTGGGTGGGTGAGGGTGGTGGGCCGGATGTTACAACTATTTGGCCCTGTGGGTCCGAAGAGACGTATAGGCCATCGGAGGTGGCTGAGCGACTGAGACTAACTTGTTTCATTATCAGAGAGGTCTCGACCAACACGCACTTCATCTTCTCTTCAGGTCCCCCACACACAGTCGATCTCTTCATCTTACCAATAAAGGATGCCCTCTTGGCGAGTCAAATAATCATCTTTTTCACAACTTCGGGCGTTGCTAAGCGGCCTCAATCTAAGATCTCGTCTCCGGCAATTAGACAGGTGGTGCCGCCCGTTGTCCTTCCCGTCGATCATGCTCAAGCATAGCGAATGCTCAACATGAACTGAGATGAAGCTAGCTAGCCAAGCTTCTTACCTTGTGCGGATGTGGTAGCATCACCACGCCCACAACCGGACGCTATGTCTAGTGTAGGTTTTGGTGGCGCCCTGTCATCCAATGTTTAAACTGAACACTCCGCTGTCGTGCAGCACGATGGCGCCGGTTTGTGGGGGTCCATCTTACTTGGATGCCACCGGACTGTGGCCGCCTGACACTCCGCTACCTACAAGTCGTTGTTGTACACAATTCCTGTCTACAATCTTGAACCTTTCCTTGATCCTCACCTGCCTCCAAAACTGCATGACACCCAACACGTCAGGTCAAGTACCAGAGCACAAACGAACACCGGCAGCAGCGGACAAGCTGCATTAAAATCCAGCCCGCTGCAAGATGTAGATTGAGGCAGAATTAGGTTCCCGGGCACTCGTCCAGCCCGCAGATTTCCACTTTGGCGCATTTCCCATGACGGGCAACATGGTAATCTATATCACTTTGCATCATTCACGCCTTGGATGCGGCGCTTGTACAACGACACCCTATCATCATCATCATCATTATCAACCTACAGGTCTATTGACGCTCACACGTACTTACTGTGTAGTAGCACGTACACATGCCTTCTGTAAGTACTCTACAGATCGGAACTCCGAAGACTGAGGAGGCCTTTCTACATGTTGTTCACGCCATACACTACAATCCTCATGGCGATCTTGAGGAGACATCGGACGAAGATGGGGAGCATCACTGCCGAGCCGCTGAATCTGCCCGTTTGTGGCACCGCCCAGCCGGATCCCATCATCGAGGTGCTGACCTTCCATGTCTATACCAGGAGCCGGGGCGCCAGCATCTTGAGAAGCGCGGAGTTACTCACCGACGGAAAGAGAGAGAATGGAAAGTACCGTAGGGAATGTTCTAGTTCCTGGTTGGCCGTGGTCAATATTGGATGACATCCATCACGGCCGAGTGCTGCGTGTCCCCGTAGACCAAACCCTGGACAAAGCGTACTGTAGTGATATTCCGAGAAGAATGCAGCCACCGCCCACAGTCAGAAAGCGGCCAAGACCAATCCGCCGCACCCATCTATATTCATGTTCATGTCCGTCCTAACCGCTAATTTTCGGATCCCCGATAAGGCGTCTGGTAATGACTGCGTCCTTCCATGTATGTGCGTAGTGAAGTTCCCCTGTTTGCCTGGCTCTCCGGCCAATAGCACCTCCATCCTGTGGTGACGGATGGTTCCTCTTTCGCAATGACAGCTTTTGTTCTTTGCACACAAGTGTCGCCCTGGGCTTTGATGCCCGCATAATAATCGAATCAGGACTGACCATATGCACATTGATAAGGACTGGAGGAGGGTAGCGGCTGTCTCTGGCCAGGGGGTAAAAATACGCCTTTGCACTCCCAGTGTCATCTCCCATTGACAAATATCTCTCGGTATCAGTTTTCTGGACATCATATTCAAGATCAGCAACATCATCGGCGCCCAGAACCTTTACCACCACCGAGTAGAAAGGAGCCTAGACAGCCAATCGTCACTTAGACTCGTTAATCTCGCAAACACCACAGCCAAGCAGCCAAGCCTTTCAATGGTGTCGCCGACAAGACCGCAGTCATACTCGACCTGATTACAGTTCCGTGTCGAAATCAGTGCAGTCTTGGATCCGAGCTGAATCGACTGACTTATACCGCGACACTCTCGCCTCCATTTGTCGTTTGCGTGGAACAGCGCTAATTTCAAGGTGTGCTTGGCGTTGCGCAGCCCCCCCGGCAGAGCTGTTGCGCTGGCGAGGAGGGACCGAAGTCGTCATTGGGTACCGTGTGGCGGTTCATGGTCGTGGTAAGATGATTCAACAAGTTCAGGTTTTTCTTTGACGAGATGGGCCGGAGGGTCCAGTCATCACCCCATTACTGTAAGATGCTAGCGCATTCCTGACACTGACAGCAGGCCCTAACAGGAAGTGCATCCCACGCACGACGTCCATCTGCAGCACGGCAGACGTCGACACTCCTCCAGCCGGTTCCACGGTGAGGGACCAGGGTCCCCGTCTGGCATAGCGGAGCCCTTGACGACTTTCAGGATCCACGTTTGAGTTCTTGCTCCACGCGGGAGCAGGTCTGGTCCGGGCCCCTCTGTCCATGCCCGCTCAAAAACTCAAAATTGTACTCACGCAGTACCGCATTTATCATCATCAAGTCCGCGCATCTGGTTTCTTATGCCCGACAAGGTTAGTGGCAACTTGGCCTCATATAAACAATTTTCTTTGTCTTCCTGTGCTCAGATCCATCTTTTTCTCCAAAATTTCCAGGCCCGCCCAAGGAAACATCACTGCCAGATACCTTTCAACTACCGCACAAAAACCCATCGCCGCCGCTCGGCCTTGAACTCGAGGTCTGCTGAGTGCGAAGAAAAAAGATTTCTCGCTCATTGACCCTGCCCGATTTTCCACGATACCCAGCTCCAGCAACCGGGCCTTTTTGACGCTCTAACAAAGTTGATTGGCGTGGAATAAAAAGACGATTGTGTCCCCCCCAACCATCGACTCCAGCGCCTGCTCCAGTTTCCCGTCATCGACTCCAGCAGCAACCCCCAAAAGGTTGGACTGAACCACACCAGGCAAAACACAAAGCGTTCCTTCGCTGGCACGGCCTCGCGCACCAACGCACCCAGTTTGACCCTCTCGGTCGCAGCAGCCCAAGCCATATACGTCAATCCGCGCAGCTCACCACCTCACCACGCACCGTCTCCAAAAAAATATCTGGATGGACACTCAAACCGTGCCTTCTTCACGAGCCACGGACACGCGCAAGTGGTCCACGCCGACGCCGCCAGATACCCCGGCGTCGATGACACCGCAATCCGAATCCTTATCGTCCTCCCCAGAATTCGCACATCTTCCCGACAGACCAGCTTCCACCGGCACTCTTCCAAGCAAAGGTTACTATCCGGTCCAACCTCACCACCACCACCACCACCACCACCCTTCTTCTAGCTATCTACTCTGGGCTCTCTTGCAGACCCAGGCTGCTTCTCATCTTCCCAACGCTTCCACCTCCGCACCCTCTTGCACACCAGCATCCGAAAATTCGGCTGACCTTCCCTCTCACGAAGACTTTGGCAGGACCTCGTCTCCCCCGGAGTCACTGCGAAAACTGGCCATCAAGGGTCAACTCATGGCTTCCGCCGCAACCACCCCCTCGTCGCCGACGATCTCTGTTCAGGCTTCTACGAATCGACAACAGCAGGACAACCAACAGCAAAAAGCCCATGAAAAAGAACACCATGACACTCTTTTACCAGCGCCCGCCGTTGCCTTTTCGCATGCGCTGAGATCGCTCAACGACTTGGACGGTGGTATCGGTGGTTTTGGTTTCACTGGTCAGCATAACCCGATAGCTTACAACTCCCCTTACAGCCAGAGCATCCCCTCGACAGCTCCTGGATCGCCGCGAATGTATGTGTAACCCACCCCGCATAAGGCTGAACTTATCTTCCCGTTTTATTCTCATACACTTTCTATGCGCGTACTCTGGTGGTGCATCCCAACGAGCAGTGTTGGTGATGATGTGGGGTCCGCGCTCGACTCACACAGGCTAACTGTAATTTGCTATAGCCCGCCCATGCGCCAGAATTCGGGTTGCGTAACACCCAGGATACGACCACATGCAACGACGCTTAACATTCCGGGTATGACCCGATCGAGGGTTTCTCCCGATGGCAGAATTCCCGAACGAGATGTTGCCGCCAAGTTGGTAGTCATCATGGTCGGCCTGCCAGCAAGAGGGAAATCCTACATTACCAAGAAAATTCAGCGCTACCTCTCATGGCAGCAACACAACACAAAGATCTTCAATGTGGGGAACCGCCGACGTATCGCCGCTGGCGTCATCCACAAGGGTGATCAGCCCGCTCCGACTTCGGCGGACGGTCACGATGACCACGATCCCCACGACGCACCCAAAAGAGCAGCCACCATCCTCCTAAAAGGCAAGGATGCCCCGAAGATTACGCTGGAAGAGGATGAACCGACAACCCTGGACTTGAACGAGCACCGAGATGATTCAGCCCCCAAGGATCCAATCGATCAGTCAGCAAAGTTCTTCGACCCGAAGAACGAAATTGCCGCGAAGCTCCGTGAGCAGGTTGCGATTGACACCCTCGATGAGCTTCTGAACTACCTCCTGCACCAGGGCGGTTCCGTGGGTATTCTTGATGCCACCAACAGCAATGTCCATCGGAGAAAGCTTCTTGTCGAACATATCCAACAAAGGGAGCCCAAACTGGGCATCCTCTTCATCGAGAGCATATGTCACGATCAAAACGTGAGCTTATTTGTGCCTTTTGCTGTTTTGATAAAGCCCTCGACTAATCAATGAAACAGCTCTTGGAGGCGAATATGCGTCTGAAGCTTGCCGGTCCTGATTACAAGGATAAGGATCCCCACCAGTCACTTGCGGACTTTCGAGAGCGTGTCAAAGCATACGAGAGTGCTTACGAGCCGCTCGGCAAGTGGGAGGAAGAGAATGATTTGCAGTACATTCAGGTATAGTTTGGTTACTCTTGAGCTAGACGTGCCGTTTCAGATCTTGTGCTAACATACCCAAGATGATCGATGTGGGCCGGAAAGTTATCCACCATAGACTCCGAGGCTTCTTGACGGCAGGCATCGCTTCATATCTGACCACATTCAACCTCGCACCCAGGCAGATATGGATTACTCGACATGGCCAGAGCCAGGACAACCAACTGCACAAGTTGGGCGGCGATTCGGGTCTGACTGAACGTGGTCACTACTACGCCCAGGCTCTCTACAACTTCATCACCTTCAAGCGTAAGGAATGGCTTATCGAGCAAAAGAACAAGATCGCGTCGTCGACCTTCCCGCCAGCACCCGGCGACCACACGCCTCCGTACCCCGAACTGTATCAGGAGTTGGACGACAAGAACTTCTGTGTCTGGACTTCGATGCTCAAACGCAGCATCGAGTCTGCCGAGTATTTCGATGCCGACGATGACTACGACGTCAAGCAATGGGAAATGCTAAACGAGCTAAATGCCGGCACATTCGAGGGTATGACCTACGAGGAAATTGCGCAGCAGTATCCCGAGGAGTACCAGAAGCGGTCCAAGGATAAGCTTCATTATATCTATCCTGGTGTTGGCGGTGAAGGGTACCTACAAGTCATAAGCAGGTTGCGTGATATGGTACGCGAAATCGAACGTATAACCGACCACGTCCTCATCGTTGGCCACCGATCTGTTTGCCGTGTCCTGATGGCATATTTTATGGACTTGACGAGGGAATCCATCGCCGATCTGGATGTCCCGTTGGGCATGCTCTACGCTATCGAGCCGAAGCCGTACGGAATCGAATTTCATGCCTACAAGTATGACGAGGCACAGGGATGGTTCAAAGAGATGCCAAACTATAGGCCTCAAAAGACTACCGACCGGAACAACTGAGGGACTCGAGGCAGTCGACATGCTTACTGTAGCGATTCATTTTTATACATCTTGGGCGTACATGGGCTTGGTCCTTTTCTTATCTTTTTCTGTGGTCACACAGCTGGCGCAAAACGGTATATCCTAGGACAGGGCGTAGACGATGCGAAGTTGATGACCTTGATGGAAGAATGGATGAACATCTGGGCTTTTGTAGCTTTTTTTTTTTTTTTTTTTTTTTTTTTTTTTTTTTTTTTTTTTTGGAGCGGCGCGAACACATTCGAGAAATGTCAAACAAGGAAAAAAAAAAAGGCCGAGGACATTCGAAATCATTCCCTAGGTGAAGCACTTTCTCTCTGGTTTTTTTTTTCTTTTTTACTGTGGAGGGGGGGGGGGGGGGGGGGGGTCCTGCTTCGGGGTTTGTATCTTGGGAATTCATCGGTGTTTTGGCGGAGAGAGTGCTTTTTTTTCTTTCTTTTTAAAGTGAATATCCATCACCACTCTTACCGTCGAGGATGGACAAAACAGGATCATGGCTCATGGCTTTGAGTTTTATTGATCGAGGAATCCAGAACATTGTCAACTCATTCTGGATGTTTCTGATTCTCCAAAATTTTCTAACCTCATTCCTTTGGTTCTATTTTCCAGCGAAGAATGTTCGCAGCAGCCGGTGCTTTTCTAGGACTCGTGCTGTTCTAGTCAACTTCTGTTGTGCGCAACCAAACAAGTTTGAACTACACTGTACGATACGTATATCTCAACTCTACGTTGCTGTTTTTAGACAAGGCGCTATCACATCTTGTTCATATTTGCATATATTGTGGTACTGGGGATCACATACATATAGGTAGTGGTAGAAGGGACAGCACATCTCTAATCCGACGTTATTGTTCCAGCTGGTCACAACATCTTGATGTACCACTCCATGAGATACCCGTCCAGGTGGTTCCAAAAAAACAGTACACACACGACCACTGGTTTTTGGTGAGCCCGTGTGTAGTCTTTTCTTGGAGCCACCTGCCGTCATACTCGAAGACAGCCTTCTACAACTTTTCTTTTGTTTTCTACCTATCCCCTCGCGACTTCATCATCGGCTCCACATCCATTATGTACTGCATAGTACCTCAAATGTCCTCCACCACAGCGCCGCCACTCTCACTATCTACGTATGTACCCCGGGATCTTCACCTTCTGTAACTCCACCGTTTAGTGCAGATCTACACTACAACACTACGCTAACTAGTCCTCATCCAAGAAGGGTGAAATCACTACACTGAATCATTGTCTCCTTTTTTTTGTTTTTTTTTTCTTTTGACAAAGGTCCGACGTCGTCTGAGTCCTTTTAAGTGACGGACTAAATGATTTTTTGAAAAGAAATAAACAAGATCGATACATGCACAAAACAAGAAGCACCGACTTTTGTGGCCTATGGCTTGATGCTTGTTAACGTAACTGAGGTGTGTAGGTACATGGGCATTTGGAAGGCAAGGAGGTCAGGGGAATCCACCGATGGATGGATGACATGCGGCGTAGGTAGATCCCGTACTAGTATAGTGTAGGACGTGTACGGACAGAGCTTACCAGCCTCCAGCTTCTACACTAACAGCTCTAACGAGCGCCCGCCAGGACATGCTACCAACCAAGCAGACCATGCCTATGACGGACATACCCATCCATGACCGGGATTCAGTTCGGCTCAGCGGCTCAGGTTCCATATACGTAACCTAGAAGACCGGACCGCCAAGATGGGAAAGTCCGGCGGCACTTTCTCACACGCATAGCTCGCTAGGTCGCTATTTTCAGCTCCAATCTTTTAGTGGCCCTGTACCTAGCGGTGGAAGAACGGGAAAGGAAAAGGGATGGAGGAAAGGGGGGGTGGATGGATGCCCTGGTGTCCCTGGACTCCCTAGACTCTGATGGCCGATGGTGCAGCTGAGCTGAGTTTAAGGTTCTTTTTACAGGGCATCTCCGTTGGCATTCGACGGTGTAGGGGTATGAGTTGTAAGTCCAGGGAGCGAGAGAGCTTTAGCTGGGTCCATGTCCGAGTGGAACTCCATTGCGCTCGATTACACGATTGGGATACACTGCTTTTGGCATTCACGACCTCTCCAAGGTACCCTCTCCCATTCATACGTAATCGTTCCTATCTTTAGTGTAATGTCTTTGTCATGGTCTGTTCGAGAAGCCCGGGGCGATCCGAACTCACCGCTGCATCGGATCTGCCTCTACGCACCTTGGTGGTTGAACAGGCGAGACTGGCGAGACTGGACCCCTGGGGCTGGGAATGACCTCATTGGAGTGGATCCCGCCCTTAGATGTCTTGGGACCAGGACCCGCTTCGGTCGTTTTCCAGGGTCCCGGGTGTAGTCAGTACCATTGCGTCGGAGCGGTGGTGTGAATTGGGCCTGGGAGTATGATGCTGACGGATGGCAAGCAAGTAAACATCATGTAGGTCTAGGGGAAAGGTGCTGAATGGTGTGCTGGGTTTTGCGGTGACTGCCTTGTCTTGGCGTGTTGGGTGGAAAGTCGAGGATGAGAATGGGTGTAAACATCACAGCTGCGATGTCGCAAAAAGGTAGGTACTGTAACACTAAGTAAGCATATCTACGAAACACCATGTGCACGTTCAGCAAGCAAGAGATAGGGAGCAGAGACATGATCGATATGATATAACTGTAACTAGTGAGGACATGCCTTCATCCGCTCTGTTCAAGTTCGAGCGGCAGTAAACATCCGTCGTACACAAATTATACCAACTTCCATGTCCACCCTCAGACTGTTTATACCACCAAACGACGCATCTCCTATTCATCCTCCCATCTTCCTTCGCCCATCGCTCCTTTTAAGTAAGTGCTAGGCTAGGAAACGCAAACCACCGAGAACGACAAACGAAAGACAAAAGAAACTATGGTCATAACATCGTCATATCTCATGAAGACAAGAAAAATAGAGAAGAAGAAAAAAAGAAAAAAAAACAAAGAAACAACAGAATCCGTGACAAGGGAAGCCATAGCCACTTATGTTACCACAGATACTGATGCCAACAATAACCACCTTTGAGCACTCATAGTGCTTTCTTTTTCTCTTTCCCCGGGCAAGGAGACCCGCCAGGGAGAAGAAGACAAAACATCATTGCCGCACCGCCGGTCAATCGGTAAGAGAATTCGAGTAGTACTGTCTAATGTACTAGTACCGAAGTCGAACAAAAAGACACTGCAGAAAATAGAAATTCGAAGAGGACCGTATCGTAATCGCTGACGAAGACGATGGACGTTATTATGGTATGGTCCGATGATCGGCGGTTGGCAAGATGTTTTGTCGTGAAAGAAGGAAGGAAGGATTGCGGTGCGAGGGTGTGAGTATTCCCAAATGCTGGCAGGAGCGATGCGATGGGTCGGTGCGGGCAGTGAGTGCACTGTGTAGTGGATCAGGCATGGGACACGACGGAATCCTTCAACTCGGAAGGAAAGAGAAAGTCTTCCATTTCTCTCCTGATCCGAGTTGGATTTCGTTTCTCTTCCTGTCCCGCCCACTGTCACAAGTATACTACTCACTTGCCACATCACACCAAAGTCCTTCGATCATTGATTATCCAACATTGTGTTGCGCTTGGCTCATGGTTCGGTGGAGTCGTTTTCGTTGGTCATCCGTCTCGCACCATCCTCAATCACCATACCCTGTGAATATTTTCAACATCCTCTCCTGCTCCGCCCAGGCCCGAATCGCGGTGGCTGACAATCCCACTTACACTTCCGTTGTCGCCTGAGTTTCTCTCCTTGGCCACCAGTTCGTCACCGAGGCCATATCCAGGTACTGGTGGTGGCGCACGGTTGGGCTGTGGCCTAGTCTTTAGTGGTGATACGCTTTGAGGTTGCTGTGTCGGCTTCGGGTAGTGAAATCTGGGTATGCTGACGGGTGTTGTTGTCGAGGCACTGGTTGATGGTCGTTGGGGAGTTCCCGGGTGATTCGATGATGCTGCCAGTTGGTACTCGGGTTCAGGAGAGTCTATGATCATAGCATCATCCTCGTCCCTGTCCCTTCTAAGGTTCATGCTGTCCTCCTCCTCTCTCCGATAACCATTGGCATGTACGTAGGTATTTGTCGTCACTGGCATCGCTTCACTCGCGCTCGGACGATGGCACCTTGTCGACTGCTCTTCCACGCCCCTTTGGGACTTGTGGCTGACACTATTACGCCTGCGAACAAAGCCGAGAAACCCTTTTCTCAAAGATAAGGAAGACGGGCTTTTGGGTACCTTGGTTATCCTTGCCTGGCCAGGGCGGACCGGAGTGGCAATAGATATCGCGTCGTCCAAGCCGGTGGCCTGGCGAAGAGGGGAGAAGAAAGAAGCAGCGCCTTCTTCTGACAAAAAGCCACCCTTCAGCCCAGCGCTCGTGGCTGGCCTACTCTCCATGCTCTCCCTGGCCTTCCCCTTATCCTTGGAGCCAAATATGAAAGACTTGTTTTTGATGGCGACTGGAGCCGACATGACGGACGCGGCGGCGGATCGAAAGCTTGAAACGGACGTACGGGACTTGGTTGGCGAGGGGGGTCGCTCATCAAATTCGATTTTCGACTGTGATTTCCTCAACTTCTTGGCCAGCTTGCGGATCGAGCCGTAGTCGACGTTGGTCTCAATGTTGTTACCATGGGGATCAGTACCGCGCTTCGTTCCGCGGGAAGGCGAGTCTGGGGCAGTCACCGGATCAGTTTGTGGAGGAAGATAGTCGTTTACAAAGGCAGAACCAATTGTACGTGTTGGCTCTTCCCTAGAAGGCGAGGGAAGAGGAGGTGGGGCCATCGAGTTGTTAACGGGTACTGACGCTGTCTTGCGATGGAAGCTGGTGAAAATAGCATGCAACTTCTTTTCATCATTGTTCTGTGCCAGATGTTCGGCAAAGGGCTTCAGGTCCTCAGCTGGCGATTCTGAACGGCTGGGTACTGGCGAGGGACGACTGGATGAGAAGGCAGTCGTGGCGGCGCGAGCCCTACCATTAACACTATCATGTCGGATTGGACTGTTACTCAATACGGTGCCCGCGCTTTGGGCGGCTCGGAGGGGATGTCTGGTGCCGTGAATAGCGTGCTGTTCAAAGAATCCCGATGCCACCAAGTTCTTGTAACTCTCCATCACCTCCTCCTTAGTGGGGTAATCGGCGGCTGAGAACTTTTTGGCTGCTTCCTTGGCCGCCTCTTGATCGCGCGTCGCCAGCGCTGCGGCTGCTCCTCTAAAAACAGGCACAGGCGGTACAGGAGGTGGTGTCTCACCAGATGGGGTGCAAGGCGCCGTCATGATTGAGCCTCGACCACGGTGTATCGATGATCGGCTGTCCGCTTGCGTGTTCAGAGAGGGCCGTCCCATAGCGTCTTTACCGCTCACCATGGCTCCCCAAGACTTGCTACGACTCAGGCTGAACTTTTCGCGGACGCCATCCCACAGCGGCGTGAGGAGGAACTTGCTCTTGCTGCGACTGTGACCCATGGGCGGCTGCGCTGGCGGCTGCTGTTCTTCCTGCTCGTTTTCTTGTGGAGGTGCGGATGGCTCGTAAGCAGTAGTTGTAGTCTGACGGGTGTGGTGTCGCTCCATGGTTGGAGCATGTTCGGTGGCCGGCGTGCCAACAAACTGTCGCTCGTATTCCTCCACGTCCATATCCTCCAGGTATGACGGCGGCGGGGCAGCGGAAACACGGTCGTTCATGGAACCCTCAACAAATCGGCTGAAGCTAGCGGCCGAGGAGGTGTGATTCAACTTGTGGGCGCCGGAGCCGATGGCAGGTGACTGTGGAGGACGAGACGACGCCATTGCGTTCGGTCTCGAGAAGTTGACAAATTCCTTCTTTTGTGGGGCGGCTTTCGTCTCGTCGTTCTTCTTGGGTCGCAGGTGCGAGCGGAATCGCGCCTTTGCGGACCGTAGCAGGCGACCAAATCGGTCGGCGGAGGGCTTGCTTGGGTCCAGGCTGGCTAGTGTCGTCTGCTGTTGTTCGCTATCGTGAGGAGAGTCGATCAGTGAACATGTCAGCGTGCATGGGGAGAGGCGATGCGGCATTCTGGGTGCGGCGTGTCATGCAACAGGCGACTGACACCTACCAGCAGAAATCGCAACGCTCCTTCGTCGGGCGAAGCGGACTCGCTCACGCGGCTTCGGCGAGGTTTTGTGTGCGTTTAAAGGAGTGCCGACGGACGAATGAGTGGTTTATTCGGTGAGCGAGTGGATATCAAAAAGCGGTGGTGGGCGTTACGGGAGGTTGGGGGAACCGCGGACGTGGGTGGTGCCAGGCGATTGAGTGGGTTTTTGTTTACTTTTGGCGCCAAAAAGGAGAGTATGACCGTCCGAAGGGAACTATCGTTCTCCCCCCGGCAGCTGCACCCCCCAGCAAGCCCAGCAGCAAGCCCAGCAGCACCTAGTGTAAGGTATGTATGTACTCCGGTGGATGCCCGTGTGGTGTCCGCTAGGGTATCCGCCCGTGGTCCCCCTGGCTGTTCCTGCGTTTCCAGGAAGGAAGCTCGCAGCCGGAGCAGAAGAGCCAAGGCCGAGTCGCCTAGGTAGGTACACCTAACAAAGCAAATCAGAACCTACTCCCAGCGGCCGGCCAGTGGTGCCCCCGCCGCCTGAGTCCCGCTCTTCCGTTTGGCGCAGGTCTGGCAGACTTGCCCGGCTGAACCCCTGTTGCATGGAAAAACCTGGGGAAAAAAGTGAACAAAGGCCAATGAAAAGGTGGCGATGCCTCATTTTGTTTTCCTGCTTTTGCGGTTTCTGAAATGGAGAAAGAGGAAAAGGCAAATTGCCAGGGTCTCGGATCACCTTTTCACTCAATATGGCTCCCATGTTTTGGAAAAATGAGACAAATATTTACAGTGTTTCGGGGCTTGGGTTTGGTCATTTTTGCGGTGGACTCGGAAGCAGGAGGATCACCCATTGCACCCCATTGCACCCCCTGGCGGCCCCGTCTGGTAGCGGATCAGCAGCGGGCCAACTGTCCATCACGAACGTTCATCAGTCCCCATCAAGCAGGCTGGGGCCCAGGGGGGGGGCCCAGGAGATGGATGGCAGAGAGAGCACATGGCCCCCGGGAACCCGGCGGAGAGGTGAGATGCCTTGCATTGGCCTCGCGTGCCGTTGCGGGTAGCGGTATCAACTTGCGCCGGTGACCTGCTGCAACGGCAATCTGGCTTCCACGCTGCTGGCTGCACAGTTCCTGTTCTTGGGACGAGCTGCTTAACGAATACAGTCCAGGGGCGTTTCGTTCGTGACACCATACCATCGTCGTACAATGGTGCGCTTTCACGCAACTGTTCCCAAACACCAAGTGTCCCGAGAGAAAGAGACTCGGAGACTTTGTTGGTTGGCATTCACCGTCCGTTGTGACCGTCCGACGCAGACACTATGATCAGCATACACATACCCAAGCCAAGCACCCCAAGGTACATATACATACACACATAAACCTTATACCCGCCCGGCTGAACGATCACCGATTCAACTGGCCCACGGTTAACGGCCCTGCAGCTTCGTCCGAGGCCCGTTCCAGTTTAATGCAGCCACCACGCTCCAAAATGGCACGAGAAGGAATCCGTGCATGAATGTTTGTGCGGGGCTTCAACATTCATTTCGGAGGAATGACCGTCTCCGACGGCATCGCCCAAGGAGATCATTCAGTTTCGATGCATTCCCACAAGGCGGGACCAGGTGAGATTTCCTGCACGACATCAGTTACATCTTGATTTTCCCACAACCGAGCTTGAGAAGATCGTAGCAAGCATATATCTTGCCGAGCCGAACGAGAAACCTGATGAACTCTATCGCCGAGGAGCTTCAACAAATTGTTTTATAAGACCGATATGAAATCCTTCCGTTCAAGATCCGCTTGCTGCTCGGATCTTGATGATCTTATTCTCGCAAGCCAAGAAAAAAAAAAGGCCGAAATGCACTGACACAACTAATTTCCTACTACTGTCTCCTTTTCATCTCGGCCATCGGTAGATTTATCCGATAGCGGTTCTGGTTGCCGTGCTAACTACTTGTCTTTATTGTCCGAGCGAAACTCACCTAACTCCACGGATCATGGATCAGGTCGCCCAGGTGAACGTTCGAACCATTGCCAACTTGGGGAAACTCAACAAGCCTACCTGGACTCTGTTACCACTCAAGTCAATTTTTTTTGAAAAAGGGGAAAAAAAAAAAAAGTGAAAAGGATTTTGAACCCTCTTCTATGCTTTTCTCCTGATTTTTTTTTTCTTTTTCACTTTGTTTTTTTCCCTTGTTCTTTTCTTTCTCATTTTTTACCTCAAATTCGGCCGAGCTTTTCATGGTTTCTGTATACTATCCAATCTTTTCTTGATTCTTTTTCTCCTCGTGGCTCTCTTTCCCGTACCAAATTCACACTTTTCGTCTCTTCTACAGTTCTGTGGCTTTTTTTTTTCCCCCTATCTCATCCCATTCATGCCAAGGTTGGAGTTTCTTCCAGTTAACTGTCACATAACTGATTGATCTCTGTCACGGCACTGCAGAGTACTTCACTAACCGGTCCACGTTCCTGCAAAATGATACAAGTAACCAAAGCTGGCATGTCGGTTCCTCAAAGCAGCAAATCTACTTTGCGATAAGAGGTGGCTCTTTGCAGATGCTATCACAATCTCGAGAAGTAACAGGTGAACTCGTCGGACCTAGTAAGTGGTAGCCGCAAATTCACCAGGAACATCGACCGTGTCGAAGAAACGTGGTTTCTTCACGCGCTATTTGCTATGATTCACATCACATGGTTGTATTTGGAGGGATGGACTGGCATTCAATCTACCATCAACCTGATTATGCCAGGCCGATCACTGTACCATACCGTAGATGCTCGAGAGAAAACTTCAAAGGGCTCTCTGAGGTTGGCTTATAGGACGCTTGGCGGGGGTTATGCCAGTCGTGTTGCAGTTGTCCATACCTAGGCAGAAACATGATCACTAGCCACCTTCAACCCTGCAGTGCCATTCCGAGTTTGCCGAATTTCTACAGTAGGTTCGGCACTTTCATCTTGAACTGATAACCTTGAATCCCTATCTTCTTGGCGTTCCATTCGACTTAACTGGTACTCATTCCAATTGGATCCCGCGCACCTTGTGAAAACCCGATATATGATCTGAACAAGTATGTAGACAGAAGAAAAAGGTTTAAAAAAAGGGAAAAAGAAAAAAAAAAGGGTGAAGAGAACATGAGATAGAAGAAGAGAGAAACATCAAGAAGGAACGTATGTAGCAGTAGTGTCTGGCTGTTTTCTTCAACGCCAACAGCTTGGTCTGGTGGTATATGTGCAGCCAAGATCATCAGCATCAAACCTCTGCAAATACCAAGTATATGCGTGCATGCCTCAATGCGTCTCTGTGGGCTGCGTATGCCCTGAGCACGTGTGTAGCCAAACTCATACAGCATTCAACGGCATTCAAACCCCAAACCCTAATCCAAACAAGTAGGGACATTTTTGTGCGATGGTCGGTAGTCAAGAAGAGACAAGAAAAGGGTACCACAAACTGACAGACTGGACAGACAGATGACGAAAAGAAATCAAGACAGACTTTGCACGAGTGAGCCCGCACCGAGTGGGCAACCATTATTTAAAAATCGAACCCGAAGCCAAATTTGGGACAAGGGCACTCAATGCCCCGGCGCCTCAGCCGATCAAACGCCTCAACACCTAGCTCAGCAGCAACAACCCCATCAAGCCATTAAGAAGAAACTTGTTACTGTGCGCGTGGAACTCTCTCAGTGTCAGTACTCCAGAGAGCCACTTGATCGACCATTGACAAGAAATCCCACAAAGAACATAACCGTCGTGTAAAAATGATCAACCTCAATACCCGCCAATATCTGCCTGCTTACACTCAACGCTGCCGTCAGCACGTCTATACTTGAACGTGCAAAGCGGCGGCTCCTTGTCGTCCAAAGACTCCCGCTCGCGCGCCCCGTCCTGGTACCGCCTCATTTCAGGATCAGCCCTGAACGTCTGATCGTGTGCGCGTTTCGAGCCAGCAACCTGCGGAGGCGGAGGAGGTGGCGGCGGAAGCTGGTTGTAGCCGCCAGAACTTGTGAGACCGCCGCTGTTGCTGACGGAATAGGCACGAGGGTAAGGCGGAGCAGCCATGTTGCTGGGGCTGACCATTGGATGCTGGCTGTGGCTGGCTGAGGAAAAGCGGTCGACTTGCAGAGGAGGTAGAGCAGTTACAGGTAACCTGTGAGGAGCAATGGAAGGGTGCTGGTGATGCGGCTGAGTAGGAGAGACGGCCTCGCTGAGGGGCGGGAGTGTGTATTGCTTTGTACTTTGGTGGATGCTGTCGTGACGAGGGGCGGGATTGATGGGCGCATAGGTCCGTGATGTGTGATGCTCGGACTGGAATATCGGCTGATGGGGCGGTGGTGGCGGAGGGTAGGAAGACGGCTGGTGTTGATAAGGCGCCCGTTGGCTCGTGGGGTAGACGGGTGAAGGGGGAACCGAGTGCGGTTGGGCGAAACTTTGTGGTGGTGGTTGAGCGGGATACTGATGATGTGTGTTCCCGCCCAAGAAACCCAAATGGCCTCCGGATGTCGGTGTCTGAGCAGCGTATTGAGGTGGGTAGTCAGCCATCGAAGGCCGGCGTTGAGGATCGCTGATAGCAGAGTAGGGCGTCCTCTCGGTGCTTCCGCTCATCGATCTTTGTCGGTAAGCTTCCTGCTTTGCAGTATCAGGTGTGGCGGTTCTCCTGGCCCTCCGATATTCCTCCTCGCCATTCTCATAGTCGTTACCACCACTGTTTCCTTTTCCATCGCGGCGTCTCATCCTCACATCACGCCTGATACGAACGCGACATCCCTGTTCGGCGACGGTACGGCTGAGGGGCGTGCTCTCGGTCAATCCTGGAAACTTTTTGGCGCTGTAGACAACGAAATCATGCGACTTGATGTCCATTCGGAAGTCGAAGGATCCTGGCGAGCCGTCCTGGGGGGCATTGGGTTCTTCGGGATCTTTGTCCTTGTCCTCCTTGGTCTCTTCGTACAGGTTGAATGTCAGTTTATAGCGACCCTCGTGGCGAACCGACAGATCGGGGAACAAGAAGTAGCCGGCCAACTTGGGTCGGTCAAGATAAGCCATGCCGGAGACAGGCATGCCAGTCAGCACAGGCGGTGTGTTGGCCGAAGGAGTCTGCAGACGACCCTGGGCCATGACACGAGCGTGCTCGAGCGTGGCATAGAGGAAAAAGTTGGCGTTATACTGAAAAGTGACATCCCTCTCCTGGGCCATCTCAAAAGATTCACCCTCAAAGATGCGCAGCTCCACGACCGGAGGCGGGTCCACGGGGCGACGGTCGGCGGATGCTGGAACAAGTATTAACGATCCGCGAGCGATCCCGATCTTGATTCTGGCACTTACATTTAGGACCCGAACCGCACGCTCTCGCGCGCAGGGGTTCTTGGACAACCCTCAGAGAATACCATAGCTTTCGGCCGCTTCTTGTTATGCGACTTTTGACCGAGGCTATGGGCTCATCGTCATGACAGAGGCCGTTGGAGGCAGCGGCGATAACCTGAGCACCCATACTGTTCACCTCACAACCAAACGGCAACACGGCGGTCCTGGGCAGTTTCCGGATTTATGGCTCTAAGTTTTTCGCAATTCCACAAGGCTGATGATGGGAGACTAGTGCCCAGCTCGTCGGGGAGGGGCTTTGGTCTTGAACTAGAAATTGCCATCATCAGCGTCATCATTCGCCAATTTGATGCGACCGCGATCTCGGACGCGCAGAGAAGGGACTGCACTTGCTGAAGCGCTGCGCAAGGGAATGATAAGACGGGGCCGCAGCAAGTGAGTCCCATGACAGCAGCGCTTGGATTGATGCGATGCGATCGGCGTGCAAGACGTGCAGTTGCCACTCACCCTGTGACCTTGCGGCAGGGAAACCAGGCAAAGCAAATTGCTGGCAGATTGACGCCAAAGTCGATTTGTTGATGAAAGCGTCGATGGTTCTGACGCAGGCCGTCGTCGCTTCGGGGTCGGACAGAGGCAGAAAAAGATGGAAGGAAGTAAAGAAGACGACGATTGAACGACGGACGGGAAGCGAGGGGAGTAGGGAAGCGCTACCGACAGGACAAAACAGGGACAGCCAGGAGTGGATTGAGGGTGGGCGGATGGGCCAAGAGGGAGCTGAGGGATTGGCTACGAATGGATGGATGGGTCCGGGTGTGTGTGTGTGGATGGCGGATGGAATGGGGGCGCCCGGGGGGGTGACCGTGGTGGGCTATCGCTCTCTAGTGTATGTATGGGACTAGGGACACTACGGACCCAAAGTTCCCAGAAACCAGAGCGACGGGTATGTATGAGCTGTGTGAAGAAGGGAAGTGGAAGACGGGCCTGCGGAGACCGCCTTCCCTTGGGACTGGTGCTTCTATTGGTCGCTTGCCCGCAACCTAACTCGGCGAACGTCTCTGGAACGGCCGTCCACGTATTGTTCCAAGCCTTTGGGGCGACCACTCGACTGCAGCCAGGACCGTAGCACTGTCACCGTCCAACTCGTACCGCCTGGGTAGGTACAGTACCTCTATGTACACTACAGTATGTACATATGCGGGTGGCAGGGGACGTGTCTGGGCGTTTTGGAGGGCTGGATCTGAGCTCCCGTCCGGTCCTGTCGTTACTCTCCCCGTCGTGGGTCGGGTAACGGACTGAAGGCAACAAACCGCCGGCCAGGCAGTACCTACCTCTAACTTTTCTTTTGTAAAAGCAGAAAGGGAGGATAGAACAGGATAAAGAAAAACAGGAACAGAAACGATTCTGTGGAGGGGGAGGAATGCCTTGGTCCGCGACAAGGGTCCCAGGCACTAAAGAGGGCTAGAGACTTCAGAGTGGGGTCTCTGCGAAATGAGCGCGGACGGAAAATGTGACAGACGGTTAGACCATGCATGGGAGGTTGCATCAGCAGTGGAGCGTCATGGCTCCCGTCCTGCCCTCTCTGAGCCTAGTCCCCGTCATCAGTCACCCCCCTTGTCACCTCTCTTGACTTTTTGCTCAAGCGACGGACTCGACGAGACTCCCGTCTCTCGACACTGTAGTCGGACGGGCGGTTTGTCAACGGTTTGCACTCGAGTGTAACACTCCAAGGTGAGTTGAAGGGATGGGATACACAGGGCAGTCAGTGGTGACAAGTAAAGTTCTGTCCCATCTGGGCTTAGTGCTGTTTCTCTCGACAACCTTACCTCAACACTCGGAGCGGGAGGGCGCTCGGACGGTTTTGGTGGCCTCCCTCCCATTGGACGGGCAACTCTTGATCCGGGGTTCAGGTCTGGTTCATTCCTGGTCCCCTGGACAACGACTCTGTTGATCCTCCACGAACCATCTGCTGTGGTCTCCATTTTTGCTGTGCAGGAAGCTACTTCCGCGACCCGAAGACCCCATCGCCCCTCTCAGGACATGGAACGAGTCGAGACAGTGACGAAGCTATAAGAGGAACCGTCATATGTAACACCATGATTATTGCCGCAAGACATTTCCATGACACAGAGACCCTCAACTTCCAGATCCAGTTGCACTAGAAGCCGCCCAGCCATAGTGTAGTGTACAATTCGTGGGCATTTCCACTTCCACTTGTAATTTTTGCCGGGTTTTGCGCTTTTTCGTCTTTCGCCAGCCAGGGAACGTTTATCAAGAGGCGGGGGGGCGGAGCACTGGCCCAGTGGCTCTGGCCCGTTGCTTTTACAATGTCTGTTGTGGTTCGACAACTTCGGCCGTTTTTTTCTTGTGTACGACTGTTGCCCGCTGCAACCGACTTCCCGTCCGTCGCCTGCTATGTTCCGTCGTGTCTTCCTCGCCAGTGCTCATGTCACACGGCCATCTGCCAAGCGAAGCTAGCTGTCAAACGAAGAGATTCAGAAGAAGTGCTGTGGAGGCGATGGTCGCAGGCATTCACAAAGGTACGTCAAGGTGGTAACTGAGATTTACCGGAGGACACTGTAAGTGCCGTCCCAGCGCTCCGGGGCGCGGCTGTCTGTGCCACTGCTATGAACTATTCGGAGCGTCAGCCGCTTGGATTCCATTTACACGATACCATCCAACCATGCCCTGGTTCCCTTTGTTTATTGATTTGGTACAAAAACGCCTACTTCCACTCGGACTACTGAAATGGAAAGGGCATTTGGTTACGAGCGGACGGGTGCCGAACTAGTATCTTCCGAGTTCTAGCATTTGAAGATTTTGGGAGAAGACCGGGAGAGGTATAAGAGGCTTCTGTAGTGTTTTCATTCCTGGCTATCGTCCCATGACGCTTCAAAATATAGGCCAGTTTCTCTATTTAGAGGCTAACATGAGCTCCAGATCTCCCTTGTTTAACCTACGACCGGAGAACTAGACTAATAAACAAACCAGTCTGCTGCACCCGACCAGACCGTGTGCTTCTGTCTGAAGGCTGGAGGGTAGGATTGGCGGAGGTGATCTCAAAACCTAACTTCGTATCGATGGCTTGAAATGCCACTGGCAACCTTTATATGGACAAATACTTTGTAATCCACGTTTGTCACGGGTCATCCCGGTTCGTGACCCAAAACATCGGGATATCCAGCACCACTCACTCGGTCGCTGGATCGGTGGTATCTAGTTCTCTCTCTGCTGTACCCTTCGGTGCCAGGCTCTTGTCAACTTCGTTTCCCAGACGTACATGCATTGATGCGTCAAAGCAGCGATACACTTAGAAAACCGGAGTTGGGATCGTCGCATCGACATCGATGGCTATCATCTCTATCGGACTAGTGTGCCACTTTGCACTGTGCTGAGCTTGGGCATCAAACCCTACTGACAGCATCACAAGAACATCAATCGCAGGGCACCTGGCCATGTATGTACGTACATCAATCAACATACCTAAACCCCGCTCGCCGAATCTCCAGCGTCGGTCATTCCAGCATGTGTATGTGTCAGATGCCCGGGATATGTAGAAGCAAGGTGAGGCATTGTCATGGCATGTGCATCGGGGCTCGTGGGGTACACTGGGCAACGAAACATTAGGTCATTCAGGACAAATCTGGCACGGGAACGCTCCGATACCACAAGGTTGGAGAAACTCGATGATACTGCCCGCATGTCATTCGTTTCTCCGCTTCTCTTATCTACTGCCTCTACCTAGTCGGCGTGGTAAGTGAGTCGAGGGAAGGAGCATGGCGACAAGTTCAATGAGTGTCTGCAGCAACTTAAGAACTCGAGCCATGACTTCCAACAATACGATGCTACTCAGTACTATCTGCCCTCACAAGGCTTTGAAGCAATACCGGATCATCTAACGGGCGGACAGGATGGGTACCTGTCCACCCACGTACGAATCATCGTATCTACTATGCGTACTGCAGTCAAGGAGCCCGGAAGCGTGGTGGTTACTACAGTGCCTTTTGTGTCCTGAACGAGGACTCTTTTGCACCCTCATTTCACAGTTATGTTTTCTGAAGATTTCACTACATAGATGTACATACTTCTCCAGAGCAGGTAAAGTGCAAGTCAACAAAACCAGTGATGACAATGAAGTCACTAAGACGCTCTCTGATCATCGTCCACTTTGTAGGCTACACGTCTTGTTCCGGCCGTTAGGTGTCACCACACCAACTAATGGAAGTTTCAATTTCAAGATAACAAATGCTGCAAGCAAAGAAACAAAGTCACAGCTTATTGACCGTAACCAAAGGCCCAAATACATACATGCCCTAACGGCATACCTTCTCGCTAACTCTAGCTGCCAACACGGAATCACCCATCCCCCTCTACCCAATCCTGAGAACAAATCCACTTACCGCGGACTCTCGGATACGGATAACTACATTAAAAGACGGTACATACCTACATACCTCTACTCAACTACCTTAGCGCCCACATACTAGTCCTAGAGGTACACTCCCATCACTATACCCAAGTGTTCCGTCTATCTCCATGTCATGTAAGACAAACTGTGCAGTCGACCACACTCTCCCCACCGGCAGCGGCGGAGGTTGGCCGTCTTGGAGTTTGTCAACGTGTGTCTATCCGTGTGTGTGTTGGCACTATAAGGGAAGATAGGTAGGTTTCTACATACTACCTATAAATTGCAGGTACAATGTAGGAAGCTGTTTGCTCTTGACCTCTGAAGGCTACTAGACTCTGCCTGAGCTTTGGGCAATCTATAGGAAACAGGGTAGACGTGGGTGGGTGCGTGGGTACATGCATGGTTTGTCGGCATCACCGGTAGGTCACTTGAAATGCTTGAGCAAAGAGTGAGAAGAGAGAATAGGTAGTCAAAGCTGCGTACGGGAATATAGGCTGCGGCGAGGTTAAATGACGGATGGGAACTAGATCGTTGATGGCTTCCATAAGGGAACCCGGAGGATCTAGATTCTTGTCTACTTACCGTCCCCCTTTTCTCATCCTCACGCAGTCAGCAGAATCGCACCTCAATTGCTTTTTCTCGCTTTTTGGAGCCAGACATAGAACTCTACTCACGATTTCTACAGACATAAACAAGGACATCAGAAGATCAACGAGATCACGGCATAGTATTCAACATATCATAACAAGCCCCTCCCCAACATATGACTCCATCAGACACCCATAACAACTTCTAGGGGTACCCTCCGACTACCCTTCGTCAACCTTGACCCAAAAGAATCATATAGCTCTTCATTCACTCATCAAGCCACTCCCGCTCTGATGGTATGGTATTCTTCCGGCCGAGGTATGTTGTCTATTTCTGTTACCTAGGCGGCAGATAACGTAGCATTACACCCGTGGGTATGCATGTTGTACGACGATTGCGGGGTGGTGGAGGTGTTTGGGTACTGAGGAGAAAGTCGTTCAGCGTTCTTCTCGCTGCCTCATTTCTCCTATGTAAAGTCCCTGCTGGTGAGAAAGGTAGAGAGATATTAGCTGTGAGCTGCAAAAAAACAGACTCAAGGGTGGCATCACCCTGTGTACTCTACCCATCATGTAGACAAACGCATCAAAGTTCTTATCTGACTTGCCTGCCTGCTACCTTGTACTTGTTTTTTCTACTCATTCTATACCTTTTTGCACCTCCTCATCTCTGTCATACCTTACGGCATCCACATCATGAACTTGGAAGATCTGTAGCGCAAGTGTAGACGTAGCGAAGCCGCCTAAGCTACGTCTCCCAGGCTCCCAGCGCGTCTCTAGAGCTTTCTGTCTCCCCGTTGGCCCAATGAGTTTTCTTTTCAAACGAATCATGTTATTAGATATTTGACAGAGTTGTCTATAGCATGGGATACCTCCCCCGTCTGCTCCATTATACCCGACATTAACAGCCATCCCACCATGCGTCTCAACTCCGCAGTGATATCGACTGATTTCATTCACCTCATCCTTCCTCCACCGGAGCCAACTGACCGCCTTTTCATGGTATATCCATCCCAAATCATGACCTCTATCGTCCTTCATCAAATTCCCAAGCAAAAACACAAAAACGAGCGGATGTAGGGTATCGTTGTGTACTGTAACCAAACGTAAACTGTAACCGGACATTAAAAGAAGCACATTGGCGTGTCGTCGTAAGAAGTCGTGTAAATATGTCTCCCATTCCTAGGTGCTCAACCATTCAAGGATAAGCAGGCTGGAAGAGGCTCATCATAAGTTGTGCGGCCAGACCGTACACCTAAATGGGTCATATCATGACCCTATGAAGTAGTGCGTTGCTTAAACGGCAGGAGCAGCAGTGTGAGGGTCAGTCACGCCGGAGTGGTGGTCGGTGGTGGCATGCTTCTCGGGATAAGTACCGGTGATAGGGACGCGGCCGTACTGAGTAAAGGCAATATTGAGGCGACTGTAGTCCCAGCGGCGGCTGAGGACGACAAAGGCGTAGCTGAGAGTGGTGATGAAGAGGACGTCGAGAATGCCGAAGAAGATCATGCTCTTGGTGACACCAATGACATTGCCGCCGTCAGAGACACCCCAGGCAATGGGATAGAGGAGCCACAGGAGGTTGGTCCAGCCAGAGAGCATCGTGTAATCGCGGTTGATACCAACACGGTTAGCCGAGCTGCGGGCGCGGAACAGGGTCTCAAAAGCGAGGAAGACGTGGGCAAGAGCGGCAAAGGCAAAGAAACCCCACTTGTAGTTGGAAGGAACATAGGCGGCGACGAGGTAACCGATGACCCAGATCCAGGAGAGGAAGATGTTGAAAACGATGGTAGCCCAAGAGACGCCGGAGAGGATGCCCATGGCGAGGATAGCCGCGGGGAAAGAGACGACCCATAGAACATACTTGGCCCAGAAAATCTGACGGGTAGGGCCATGTTGACGAACCTGGTTCCTTTGGCTGACCACATCCCAGGCGAGGTTAGCCGCCATAGCAAAGTAGGCGAAGGTAGCCACCAGGTTGGTGACAATCCAGATGTAATGCCACAGGCGTTCACCGCGACTGGCCTTAAATTTGAGAGCAAATAGGACGAGCTATTTTGGGAAAACAAGTTAGCACAGGAACATGATCAGGAAGGTCCTATGAGATGAGACTTACTGTATTAAATGCAAAGAGGGCAGTAGCAGCCCAAAGCCAATCCGAACCGTGCACACTCAGATGCTGGCCCTGAGGAGCGGGATGGACGTTCAAGACGTCGTTGCGTGGGAGTAAAATCGCCATTGTGGTTCCGATGATCCGGGTCACTTAGGTATAACGGTTGCTGATGCTATGTCGTACACTAGACGGGAGTGAAAGAACTCGTCGATTTCCTCGTTGCCCAGTAAAAGGATGGCCAAAGTTGGTGAGAAGTGTATGCTTCGTTGAAGTGTTGTACGAACTCTGTTGTTGTTGCTGATGCTCTAGTGATGGACTGAGAGGTATTGGGTCGGGTGTAGGCAAGACTGGAATTTTATAGATGCAGGCTGGAGAGATGTGTGCTTTCTGGTCTGATCTCTCTTGAATGTTTGAATGACATCTGCTTGCAGGGCCCGGAGATAACATTAGTCACATCACTTGGTTTGTGAAGGCTTGATCAGAAAGTTCTCGAAACCCGAGTTTTCCGGCGTCATTGTCCCGTCAACGCGAAGGGACGAAGGAGGGACGACAGCAGCCGTGCCGGCGCACCGAGCTTCTAGTATAGGGTAGTAACTCTTGAGTGGTAGTCAGGTACGTGACTGCGAAAGGAAGACGTACCGGTACCTGCAACCAAACAAGGGTGGTGAAGACAACAGCCGATCCACCTATGACCGTGTCTGGACAAGGAGGACCAGATAAGCTTCAAGCTCCTTGACCTCCCAACAGCAAATCCACTCCACGAGCCGTCCAACATACGCTGGCCGCGACACTAGTTCGCTTGTCCCGCCGATTGGCTTGTCGAGCTGTCGATCTACCCCCGTATACAGTACATAGGTAGCTTTGCTCAGCAATAACATTGTTTGGCACGTCTAGGTGTTGAAAGAGATGGGAAGTGGTGACGGAATGATGGAGCGAAGCCGGACTATCTGCTCCGCAGAACACACACATATTCTCTTCTTATTCTTCGTTGCATTGGATAACCAGACTTGTCCGTGTGCCCTCAGCTTGCTTGCGCCTTGGCTTTGCGTAGGTACCTGAAGTAGAGTTTTCCCTTCCCAACGTTGTTTTGTTGTCAACGACGATGACGGACTGGTACGATAATCGCGTTTCCTTGCATGATAAAAGGGAAGGATGGCTCAAGGGCTTGTCTTGGCATACGGCATTTTTAGTGTAACTGACTGATTGATGGCCAGCCCTTCAAAATCCGCTGTCCTGGCCTGTTGGGGTCACTTAGTGACATGGGCATATTGGGAGCGTGGTCGGGGCAGGAGGAGCTCGTGATTGTCGGCCGTGATGGTACAATTCGGACAAGGATCGTGACAGCCTTTACGTACCTTCCTTGTTGTCCCGAGGACTCATATTGGGCCGGAGACGTCGGTTGATGTTGTTGTTGCTGCTGCCCGGTCAAGCGAGCTTCAAATCAAACTCCCGCGGCTTCCATGTCGTTTCGCACTCAACCTACCCTGGCGCCCTTGCCTATCGGACGCCTGCAGTGTTGAATCACCATGATGGATGCAACGTTCGAAGTGTGAGGGAAAGTGGTAATCGTCGACCGGTCGGCGGGTGGCTGCCGCAAGTTACCCAGATGCCGGCAGACGCTAATGTCATATCAACGTTGCCGTCATGTCCAAAAGCATTCGAACCAGACGACAGTGAGGTGAGGTGACGTCCTGCGTCCAGGGCACACCCTCCCGCATAGGAAGTGTGTCAGTCGACACGCAGGCATCGCATCGGAAAGGTCGGAATCACAGCTTCCTATCAACCCATCATAAGGGCCAAAACATGACCCAATACCTGCAGGACGAAAATATTGAGTAATGGAACGAACACTGACTTGGAGGTTGACGGATCTTGCAAGATCACGCGATATTGCCAACGTGATTTCAAATCCAGCTTCTAAGAGCCGAAAGTTCCATTCCATAAAGACAAGACATCCTTGACACCCATGCCCATCTTCGGATCGCGAAAACCACGAGGGGTCAATGTTCTAATATTTCCATTTTACGATCATGGAAACAATCTAATGTAAAGTGTAAGAAGGAAAGGATGAAGCCCTCCTCACCGATAGGGCCATGTTAGCATGCCCCAACATTCCCCCGGGCGGATGGAATGGAAAGAAAGTTCCACAGTCAGTGGACTCCGGATTTGCAAGGTTCCAAGGCGAACCCTTGCCGAGGACAAGATTTTCAGCCCTGCGCGCCGAGCCGCAGGCACCGCACTCCATTCGACCCGAACGGCCCCGGTTTTTTGTCATCACCCCACCGAAGGAAGTGCCGAACCCGACGTCACTTCATCCCCACTTTTTACGTCGAAGAATCCACACTTCCAGCACCTTCTGGTCTTTGTTCAACGTCTGATGGATGGCTTCTCGCGTCTTCGGACCGAGCATGCCTCTACCATGGTCCAGTCTACAAACGAAAAGTATTTCAGTCGCCCATTTTAAGCCCAAAGATTCCAAAGGCAAAAAACAAAAGAGACAAGAAGAGCAACCGAATGGCTGACGTCATATAAAGTGGAAGGGAGTATTAAGAGCCATCGATACTTGCGTACATAGTCGGGTTGGCCTCAGAGGTAACTCGAGGTTCTTGCTCGAAGTAATATCGAGAGCGGACGGTATGATATTGTGCGAGGGTACTTAGGTCTGTCTTGATATCATACTTCCTCTTCATATCTATGGTGATCAATGGCGAACATTAACCCCAAAACGTCTCCACGTTACCAATTCCAGTGCCACACTGCACTAACACCCGACTGAGACACATCCGACTCAATCGCCCGGGCCATGCACCTAACGGATCTGCGTCTAGCTCCCTATATTACGTGGATGTCACTCTGACGGCACGTTATAGTATGTATCACACCTTCAATAACATCAAGAACGGTCTTCACCCCCTTCCTCGAAACTCTTGGAGCCCGTGAAGCATCATCAGTGCCAGTGGTCAAAGAAATAGGTTGCCCGCCAACCTTGTCCAAACACTCTCTGTTCCATCATTCGTGTTACCATGTCGGATATGGTACAGAACGTAATTGCTGAGCTAGGTTTTCGAGGCTTGCGTCGTTGACGTAGTTTTACGCATGCGGTATCCCGAAAACAAACAAACAATCAAGAAACAAGAGAAAAAATGAAAAGGAGGGCGCCTACATGGTGGGGATGGGGGGATATGCTGTTGACATGGTCCGAGACCATTTATCTCGATGGTCATAAGGACGTGGTTCTAGTTTGTTCGATTTTGATGCTAATGTTACCAGATGGGACTTTGTTCGAAGCTTGCCTATTCACCTAGCTGAAGAAATTGTGTTGCGAGGTAAACCGACGAGTCTCCGAATAACTTCCTGGCATTCACACTTCAGGGGAGCAGAAGTAATCAAGAAACTCTGCACCTGTTTTGTAGTATGAACAAAACCATTCCCACTGTTGGCTAAGTCGACTCTGAAAGATGCTATCAAGCGCTGCTTGCACTCCGCTTATGCATAAACCACCCTGCTGTCTCGTCTCAGTCAACTTCCCGGGGCGTTCATCTACTTCTACTAATACCGTGACCAAATGCCCACGGGCGGCTCTTACATGTATTTTGAGGACTGTAATACACCCCAAACTGATTGACTAGGTCGCCCAATTACCCGAAGAGCTCAGTTTCGTTGCCTGTGGTAGTTCGCGCCATAGTTTTTGCAACCGTTGGGTGTCTTGCGCCTAGTAATCTACCCGGCCGTGTGGTACTTGGGGCCCCTCACCCGCTTCCCCCTTGATGCTAGAAGCCGCCTCCTTGGCACGCTCCCTGACATCCAGCTCAGCATCATTCCGCTCCAGGCCTTCGAGCTTTTGCAGGAACCCTAGCTTCTCAAGTTCAAACACCCGCAGATCCCTGCCCCGCCTGTCCTCCGTACCGTCGCACCATACCAGGTTCTTGAGCAGATGACACAATGACCGCCGCACATCCACGTCCTTGTTGTTGAAATGGCCCGCCAACAGCTTGAGCAGCTCCTCTTGGGCGATCACGAGTTGTCTGTGTCGAGGAACTCCCGCCGCGATGTGTGTCAAAAAGTAGATGACCGCTACGATGATTTTGGATTGCGGGTACAGTACACGTGAGTCGATGCTGACATTGCGGCCTGATGCTCCCGACCCTGCTCCACCACCAGGCGTCCCCGAGCTGGAAGACTGGCGCCTGGCAAACGGACGGAGAATCTTGACCCGAAGCTTGGACGCCAATATATCGAAGAGGCGATCTTGGCCTAGCTCGCTGAAGATGTAATCAATCATTTCCGCCTGGGCCGGTTGCTGAGGGATGGCGATGAGATTGCGAATAAAGTCGAGACCTTGTTCCTGAATCGCGAGATCGGCTTCACGCGCCTTTCGAACTTCATCAAATTCTCTTTCACGTAATGCCCTGAGCATACCATCGGCAACACGCATGCGCGTTGAATCGAAGCCAGGTCCCTTCCGGTGTATGGCTTGCCACTGCCATACGTCGTCAGTTGCTTCGGCGTAGCCGTCACCCGTATCCATCACTTCATCTTCATCCGCGTCTGTTAAAGGTCGACGTTCACCCATAATTCGGGCATGTAGTGCTTCGTCTTCCGTATCGTCGCATATCAACTGAATAAGCCACCCCGGCCCGAGTTCTTCCAGGCACTTTTTTTTGGTATCTCTGTCCGTCATGTGAACGAGATGCTTGAGTGCCCACAAGGCATTGAGCCTCAGTCCCGCATTGTCAGATCTGGCGTATAGACAGAGCACGCCGATGACTCCAGCTTTAATCAGAGGCTAACTTATTGTTAGTAGACTGTCAAAACCGGGGGGAAAAAATGGAAAATCAAGTTTTTAAATAAACAAGGTGGTATATCCACTTACATCACGCATAGGGCTGCTCTCAGTCAGCAGATTACAGATCACGCTGCAGGCTGCAATCTTAACATCGATATCCACGTGTTTCAAGAGCTTGAAAATGGGCATAGCGACACAGTTGTCGTCCAGGACTGTTCGAAGATTGCTGACCGATCGTGCGAGTGTTCTTACAGCGTGACATGCCGCGATCAATACCGAAGTTGGGTTGTGCCCATAGGGAGAATGACCAGCGGGATGCATAGGAACGGTACCATCCTCCTCCGTTTTTAACTTCTCCTTGGGCGGCGTTGGTTTCTGTGGCGTTTCGGAAAGTGACTCTGCAACACTTGGTAGTATGTCTTGCTCAACTATTTCTTTTCTGAACTCTTCCTTGAATGTGGCCAGGGATGTTATGAGTTTAAGTGAGCTCTCTCTCATCCTGATTTTGTGCGCACACAATGGAACTTGACCCGGTGGCCCAAGCTGACATGTCGAAAATTTATCATCTCCAGTGTCCTGTCTCTCTTCAGGGTTCGGCGTCCAAGGCCTAGGGGGCGATGGAATTGCCGTGGGCTCATATGAATCCTTCAACAGCTTGCACGCCAGCTTCAGGGCTCCGCTATCACGCGTAACTTGTTGCAGGAACACGCTGTCCGCAATAAGCCGGGCTAAGACAGCTGGTGTCCGCTCCAAGATAACCCATGCCGTAGCAGTCTCCGAATCGACAAAAATGGCATCTAGGCTCTTGCCTCTCTCCTTTTCGTAGTCCTTTAGTAAATGGCAGAGAACCGGAACGACAAGGACGCTGAGGGAAAATTCTCGGTCTGGGCTCGTGAAGCCACCCTTAAATAGCGATGCAAGTACGGATGCAGCCATGACCTTCTCATGATCGTTAGTGCCAGATCGCATGAGGTGGATCAACCATGGTATTAGCGGGCTCTCTGGTTCTTCGGTATCGCCACCACCAACAAGCCATTCCCGATCCTCTGTCGTAAACCTTGCTGTAGCCCGGCCGTGTTTTGCAGGCGTCTCCAGTGACCTCCCCGTAGACGGGAATGATGGGTGATGTTGGGACAAGAGAAATCGCGGCGTTGTAACTGGAACAGCCGGAAGTAGGTAGTCGAGAGCAGAGCGATCGACTGGCCGACCGTGAGTAAGGCCGCTTTTCTTAAGCAGTTCCCATGTACGATAGATTTGAGAGTTTCTTTCGCCGATCTCACTACTGGTTAGTACTGCCATGATCGCCGGCGAACAAAGCAGCAGACCCGTTCGGAAACGGGAGTCTGCTATTAAAACAGATATCGCTTCCAAAATAAGGGCCAGACTTAGTCCTCGAGGAGCAGGCTGTGGTATTACAGCAGCCAAGCCCTCCCTCTCCAGCGTGTCCAGGGTAAACGGCAGGACCTCTCCTCGGGCAACCACGAAGCTGGCAAGCAGGGTAGCCAGGGCATCCAGGACCCCGGCGTCGGCAAGCATATCTTGATACCGCGGTTCCTTGCACAACCGACTTATCAGACTCGCAACCAGGCATTTCTGCTCTTGTACTATGCTAGAGGCAGACTCTGCATCGAGGATGGCGCACAAGGACTCGATGTAGCGAGGTACAAACAGAGCTTTTGCCAGTGCAGCCGTAGCCTCTATACTTGTTCTTGACGAGAGACTGGCAGCCTCTGTCATGTCGCTCAGAGCACGCAGAGAGGTCAAGACAAGCCGTGCGGGGTTCTTGTGCGGGCAAATATATGTCAAAATAACAGGAACAGCTCCGACGGCATTCAGAGGGGTAAGAAACGAAGGACCACCTGTAACAACTCTCTCGATTAGGGTTCTGACGCTTTGCAATATCCAGTAAATTTAAGGAGACACATCGTACCTTTGGCAAAACTAGCGATGAGCTGCAAAGCCAATAGCCGCACACGATCATCATCCGGCAAGTCTGTAGTCTGGCTGATGGGCGCGTAAGCCTCCTTACTGCCCAGACCAGAGGGCGACTGCGCTGTGGTTTTTTGTTGAAGCAGATGGACGAGAAACTGTAATATTCCGTGGTTCACCCACGTCTCCTTGGCCCGGACATCACCGACGACCCCATCCTTGAGTTGGCGGAGGAATTCGATCTGCTCGGCATGGTTCCTAGCATTCTGAATTTGCCACAGCAAAGCCGGGGGACTCTGACTATGCGCCATCTTTGGATATTATATCAATGTTTTGCGGATGCTGGTGATAACTTGTGCTTCGATCGGTCGGGTCGGTCATAAATACACTCCCTGTTCGGCCATGTGTTTCCCAGCGAAGCTGTGAATTCGTTCTTGTCAACGGAGGGAACTGGGCCGGAAGCTGTAGACCGCGGTATAACGGCCTCGGAGTGGTTGACTTGAAGTTAGGCAAATCAGAGCCGATTTTGCCGCGAACAAGACTGAGTTTTGGACTTATGTATTGGTAAGGATAGGTACGTGAAGCTATTTGGTAAAGTCGCCGATATTGCTAAGGCTCAACCTGGGTTGAGCTGGGAGGGAGTTGCACGGACGGCCGATTGACGTGATGGAGAGGTGGATACGACGTTCGATGAGAGATGTGTCAGACTCGGCGGGAGAAAAAGGGCGTTTGGGCGGTCGCCGCTCTCTTAACTTATACTAGCTCGTGCGTCGATATGGGAAAGAAGAAAGGAACGAATGGAATGGGCGCGACAGCGTGTTGGTGTTGGTGGTGTTTGGCATCTGTGTTGGCGAAAAGAATGGACGGCGATGAATTATTCTTGGAGGTCCAACGCTGGGTGTACGGGAGACGGCCAATGACGGTGGCGGGGAACGACGAGCGGCCACGGATGGATTGGCCCGGGCCTGCTGCGGGGGCGGTTCCTTCCTTTCTCGAGTTGACGTGCCCTCAAATGCACACAGGCAGGGACTCACCAGGGTAGCTGTAGTAGGTAGGTAGGTACCTAGCGCTTGGGTGCGCTAACATTGGTACCTCTAACTACACGCGATGTGTATAGGACTATAGGTAGTGTATAGGCCAGAGACTGGAATAGCAGGGCAGCCCGCTTCCAGCTCCAGGGGCAGTTCCCCTCTCTTAAGTACCGCACCTTTTCTTTTCTTGATTCTTTTAATTACTTGTATTGAGCGGGCTGCTCATAGAGACAAGAAGCTGTTATCCAACTTGAACTATCCAACTTACTATATCCACAATGTGTACAGCTCAGGCGCGATCCTGATGCTGTCATCCAGGCGGTAGGTCGTACCTAAACTCTAATGACATTTGTAACACTACCTTAGAGGTACCTAGGTACCTACCTAACTTTCGGTACCCAGGGTACTCTTCTATCATCCTCGCCCTTTCCCCCAAGAGTGGTCCATGGCGCTCAATAATATCTTTGCTCGATTGTATGCAACTCCTTTGATGATCCTCGGTTGGTACCTACATGTTCTGTGGTTGATTTTGCCAGCTGTACTTATCTCCAGTTTTAGTTTTGGCTCAAGGTTTGTGGTTTGAGATGTCCTTCAATCCTCTCAGACGCATGAGGACTATAGCCTTTTTCTGCCCCATACTCAGACATATCGGATATTTTGCGTCGCCAAGCGTACGTTTGGCTCGATGACATGATTGTGCCTTCGTGCAGTTCGATAGCTGGCTGGAGAACAGGAGTATATATAAACCTCAAGTGGACGTGACTTGGCCTCTCTCGTCGTGTTCTGTGTTACGAACTCTCAAGAGTCAAGCCGCAGTCGTCTTGTTGGTGCTGACAATTAGTACTGCCTGCCACGCGGTCTTCACCGACCTTCTCTCTCTTCGACGACACCTATTCAAACTCTCATTTGTCTCCCTCAAGCACCATCCGGCACCTGCTCGTGCATACACCTGAAGATGCGTAACATCCTTTAGATGCTTACAGCTCGCCGTCCGCAATCCTTCAATATGAGCAACTAGTGTACATAGCTGCTATTTGCATGTCAGATTGCTTCCCAAATTGGTGCGTATGCATTTATTGGCGCCCCTTTTTGGGGAGCCTCTAAAGCCTAGTCTAGCAGCTACCTCTACGCCAATACCCTAAAGTCCCTCAAAGGTTAAATGCTAGGGCGGGCAGGAAGTCTCGGTATGGAATATGGAACTGTAGAGGCATGAGCCCTGTAAATGCATACCTCTACAAAGTGCTGTCCCGAATTACTTCATGCACAATGACTGTACATAGAGTATGTACCTAGTCACCTTCTGTACAAAAGGCGGTCCAGAACCAACCCTCGTGTGGGATTGTGTGGACGGAGGAAAAGCTCGTCGACGACGGACCCGACACAACCCTGTTCAATGCCCCACTGTTAGCGACCGTGCCATCGGCTCGGGCCCACGCCGGGACTCCACGACCTCCCACAGTTCTTTCCCGCTTCCGGTGTCTTGCTGCTTCGCCCTGCGAGGCGGACGAGGCCGGGATTTGTGATGCTGACTCGGTCTCCCGCTTCCGCAGCCGCAACCTCCCCCACAACAACCGTGACCGTGACCGTGACTGCAGCCGCAACCTCTCCGAGACCGAGTCGCGGCGCCGCTCCCCATGGTCACTTCCACTATGCCCCTACCCCTTCACTTCGAGAAGCAGCATCCCGGATCCCGGCCCTCTCCTCTCGCCGGCAATCCGCAACCGCCCCCGCCACTTCGTCCACCTCTCTTCCCATTTCAATCCGGTCACGACACGGCCCAGCACCGGTAGCCTCCCACACCTCCTCCCCTGTAGCCTTCGACCCCGGCCTCGGCTTCCCTCCCTCGTCCCGGCCTCAGCGCTGGGCAGGCGTCGATGTAGCGGCCCAGTACTCGCCCATGGAGCCGATGGATTACACGACCGGCGCCCTGCTCTCTAGTCAAGCCACTGATTCCTCGAACAACCAAGCCGTCGCCCGAGGCTCAATCGAGTCCCGGCCTTCACATATACCTAACTCCGTCGGGCCCATGGCTTCCCATGAGGAGCAGGCCTCGGCCTTGGCCTCCACATCAGAAGCTACCGCTGCTCCCATTCCGCATGGCCCGACAGTGGCCGTGGCGGTGCCTCCGACTCCTGGGGTCTACTCAGCGGCGCCCCAACCGCATCCGTTGTCACATACTCCTCAGACAGGTACCCCCGTGAAGAGGAGAAACTCGCAAGGCGACGTCACCCACAACCAAGTTGAAGCGGCGAGCGCCGGGCAAAGCGGTCCGCACTCCCCTAAGCGCGCGAGATTAGCGCCCAAAATTGTGTCCCGGCGATATGAGCACTGTCCAGTCGAAGACCTGGTTGTGCTTATTGCGCACATGCTGGGCGAGCTCATTGAACTTAACGACGAAGCGGCTCAGAAAGTGGGGCAGCGTCATAACCTTACGAGGTTTCACTCCCGGTAGGCTGCCTTCAATCCCCAAACTGCCTGGATCCGATCATGATGCGGATGAAAGGACAAGCTGCTGACATGGAAATTCGCAGAACGACACCTGGAATATCGGTTTTGGATTATCTCCACCGACTCGCAAAACATGCCTATCTGTCACCACCAATACTTCTCTCCATGGTTTATTATATCGACCGCCTTTGCGCACTATACTCGGACTTCACCATTAACACACTTACCGTTCATCGATTTCTCATAACAGCCGCTACCGTTGCCGCCAAGGGGCTCTCAGACTCCTTCTTGACCAACACACTATATGCGAGAGTGGGAGGTGTCAGAGTTGCGGAACTTAACATGCTCGAGTTGGAATTCCTCCACCGCGTCGACTGGAAGATCGTGCCCGACCCTGACGTCCTTGTGGCATATTATGGTGGACTTGTGGCCAGATGTCCAGGATACATACTGGAATGCCCAGAACCAGAACAAGCAGACGACGAAGATGAAGATGAAGAGCTAGACGAAAGCGATGCGATAGGCGACGACGACGACGACGATATAGACGGCGAAGGAGGAGAAAGGGAAGAGGAGACGAGTTCAAGCCAAAGGGATAGACATGCCACGTAACCAAGGTGTTCTTCGGCTCAAATCGATCAGTCATGTCCGATCTGGAGCTGGTGTATAACAACGGGACGTGGCGGGAGACAAAAAAAAATAGAGTACATAGGGAATCAAACCAACGAAGGGCGCAAAAAAGAAAATCAACAGAGGAGATCATTCGGACAAAAGCGACCGGGAAGTATCTGCCGGAAAAGCAAAAGACTATGAGGCGCCTTTTGAATTGTCGGGGCTTGTCTGAGGGCAATCTGCCTGCAGGAAGGAAGCAATAGGATACCAAATGGAGATGAACGGGAATTATATGGAGGGAGTGGATACATTGGAAGAAATGTGATCTTGGTTATCGAAGACCGCAAGGACTCAAGCTGGAAGAGTATTGCTCCCGTCCCGTCCAAACACTACGTTCGAGTTACAACGCCTGGGTTGAGAGGGGTATCATGACAGGATGACAGATATGAGATGATTGGTGTGTCCTATGAAGCACCGCGGCGAAACAGCAATCTTTTTTGCGTGGGGGAGATGAATGGGCTGTTCCTTCACCTGGCACTCTTATAGGAATAGCACTTTTGGTAGATACCACTGAGAACAGATTTCCTCTTTCTACTCAGATGTCTTTTTCTCTTGATCGATACGTCTTATAACACTGATTCGGGCAGAAACGGTATCGGTGTCGATTCAGGACGTACCGAAAGTCCAAACCTCCAATATAGACCGGATGTCGGGCCCTCTCAACCGGCGCTGCCCCTGGTGATCGGTCCTGGACCGGATGAAGACCCCACCAGGCTTCCAATACCCGCAGAAACAGGCAACCTATGCCAAGGGTCAACACCGGGACCCACCTTTTACTACACGACCGACACCCACAGCACAAGCTGAGGCCCAAGCATCTCCAGCCGTGGCTCCATTTTCGTCATTCTTCATGACTTGTCCGCTTCTCTTCGCGCGACAGCAGCATCTTCTCACTATTCATACTTGGTGACTATCTGCGTCTCCTGCAAGCAGAAGCAAAAACTATCTCGGAAGACTGTAGCAACCACACGGGCGACAAGCTCTCGACAATCCTCGATCCGCCATGAGGCTTCTCGCGTCGCTTGCGTCGGCGCTTTTGGTCGCCGCAACGGCCGCAACGGCTCAGGTCATCACCGTACCAATCTATATCCAGCCCGTCAACTCCTCCTCTGTGCCATCTTTTCTCGCCGAAGTCAGTTACGACACCGCACAAGACCCAAGCAGCGCGGTAGCACCGGTGGTGTCTGCCTACGAAGCGCCTGAGATCCTCGACGACTTGCGAGGCCACGAGCTCCTACGTATCGGCGTGTACGACAAGGCGGAAAAGGAGTGGGTGTCGTCTACGTCGGCCATATCGGCAGAAAACTTCGGCAAGGGGTACGCGCCACATATCGTGCTATCAGTGGACGAGAGCAATCAGGAGGGTAGCTATGACAACCAGCACGTCTTGGGCGTCGCGTTCAAGGGCATCAGGATCGATGCTGGACAGACAAGGGACTTTGGGCCGCAAGCGGTGGTGGTCCGCACAGCGCAGGGCAAGCAGCCGGAGTTGAACAAGCCGGTCGTGCTGTCGCCAGAGGGCAAACAGGTGATGCCGCAGGAGAAGACACTTTTACAAAAGTATATTGAATCCCTTCCCTTCCCAAGTTCTGATACCACTGAGATGAGGGCTTTGATTGCTGACGAGCTGGTTTGCTGCACTACAGGTACTGGTGGGTTATTGCCATTGTTATGGTCCTCTCCCTGGGAGGCGGAGGCGATGGGAAATAATAGACTAGCCACATTGTTTTCCTTCCCTGGTCAAGCATTGTTCAGAGCTTTGCTATGCATTTCATCTCTTGGGTGAGGATGTCCGTTTCGCGCGTTTTGGTTGTATTGATTGCCATTTTCTCGCAGTGCTCCCCGCTGTCCTGTCTTGTTTGAAACCCTTACCTTACCTACCTAGGTACCTACTCTTCTCATAACCCGTTTGTACTGTAGAGGTACCTAGTACAGGGAGACTTCCGATTCAGTCGCGTTCCTCATCACTGAGCTTCCAGCTGGTGACTCCTCTGCCCCTTGCGTCAGTGTCTAGCAGGTTGGACGGGGACGCTGCGTGCCGAAGCAAGGAGCCCTGCTAGCTGCCTGTTGCACGGCACCTAGAGGTACCCTTGCGTCGTGATTAACAACTGTCTGCCAGTGGCGATACTTATCAATACAGTTTAGCGCGGCTAGCACACTGCCCCACTGCCAGATGGCAAGTGGATCCTACAGCCAGCTTCCCGCCTCATAATTGGAAAGTGGGTACTTGGAAGCTGTTCGCTGCTCCCATGTCATCGCCCTGCGCGCGCCTGCCCTCGTCGCTCTCTCAACGGACCATACAGTTCAACTTCACCTTGGAAGTCACCACCAACTCCCAACATCACATCTTGGAACTTTTCTCTCCCCACTTGACTTCACCTCTCAAGCGAAAGGAACTCTCTCTTGACAAACCCAACTTTTGGTCGCGTTCAGCCTCATTAACAAGAACTAATAACCATTTTTGGAATCTGTTGATCGGATTCATCTGCCATCGCCAACGCGCAAATAAAGACAATAATCGCCATTTTTGCTACTTAATCCATCTCGAAAATGTCCACCGAGAACGGTACCACCGACACCACCCTCGCGGGCACCGCCGAGGCCAACACCACCTTTGAAAGCAAGGGCAAGGGCAAGGCTCCCGCTGAGTCCGAGGACCACCCCATGGGTGATGCAGAGGACGACGAGGATGATGAAGATGAGGATGAGACTGAGGTGAGTTAAATCCTGAAGGCATTAAACTTGCTTCTCAAAACACTCTTCATCGCATTGTCCGTGCTAACCCTTCCGTTTGCAGGAGCCCGAAGCTGGTACGTTAATTGCCTTTGAGTCCATCAGCCAACGCTCAATCACGGGTGACGATCGCGCAGCAACAGCTTACGTACAGGAACTAATATGAACAAAATCAGAGGAAGACAACCTCGAGGAGATCGACCCCAGCAATGTGATCAGTGGTCCCCGCACTCGCCAGAAGGAGATCGACTATGCCAAGGCCGCTCAGGACCTGCCTGCCGAGGAGGACGATGAGGAGGACGACGAGGAGTTTGTGCCCGAGGATGAGGAGATGGAGGAGTAGTCCGAGGCTATCTTCTGATCTCCCTCGATGGTTCACAACAACAACAACAAATACTTTTTTTCTTTGTTCCTGGGTTTCCCCGTTGGCTCTGCGTTTTGCACGCTGCCAGTGGTTGAGTTTCTGATGATCACGAGCTTGGAGATGTAAGCGGTCTTTTGGCTGATTGCTAAGCCTGATTGGCTGGACCTATTTATGTACGTGAATGTCAGCTATGGGGCTCGGGGTTGTTTGGTTCAATGCTTTGGGAGTTCCCACAATCAGAATTTGGCAATACATGATAAGGGTGTAAGTGATCATTCGTTTATCAGTTCAGGTAGACCGATCTCTTCTGTCAGCCAATTTCAAAGTATCAACATACTACGTACGTTGGTGTATCAAAATATGCTTGATCGCTTGTCTTCACTAACCTAACCCCCATAAGTGGAGACATTGGATGGTTCCCTGTCAGCTCAAGGGCAGTTGTCCTATTGAGATGGGGTGCCAGTAAACTAAGGGCGAGGCAGCCTGAAGGGGGTGTTATGTCTACGGCTGACCTATGAAAAGGTAATATTCCGGCGAATTCTAGAGTTGCTATTACCATCGAGATTTGATATCGGTCCTGTTCCTGGAGTACACAGCAGACGTCAGGAACCGGAGCATCGCACCAGCCGGGCACCAACAAGGTTCGCGATCTTGGCCTGCTGATCCACCGGGTTTTCTACGCAGTACACTACGTAGCTTCTTTCTTGACGCCAACATTTGCGCGAATGCATGACTTCGACTTGGAAAGCTTCAACGTTTCTAAAAGTCTCGGATTTGGGCTTAGATTCGCTTTGATAAGTCCCTACTTAAGTCTACGCGCCTTGCGCAATCTAACGTGAATGAACTTATTGCTGACACGACAAGTTGAGAGAAAAAAAAAAAAGGTAGAGGAAGAATGGAGACGCTGAACGCCCAATTGGCCAATATCAGTGGAAGCAACACGGGCACCTCTCGGAGGGACTTTAAACAACGCCGAACATGAACCCTTCGACATAGAGAAAAATTGAATGATTACTAAAACCAGATGGACTGGGGAAAATAGTGTCAAGTTCTCTCGGAGAGGAAGACGTGACACCAACCCAGGTGTTCAATCAACGTGTCCTTGTCAGCATCATGCGGCACAAACAACATTGTACCTTTTAGCCATTACATATGTATCACCCAGACGCGGACTGACGTTGTAGTTTATGTACCTTGACGGCGCACCAAGGTAACATCTGGCCAGAACAGGCCTAACAACCACCCAAAATAAAAAGGGGGATCTGCCGGCGCTGGGAGCCAAGGGTCCACGGGCATTCAACTTTATTTTCTTTCTTCACCACCCGCACACCCACCGCCCGACGCTACCTCTATGGAACCTGCCAATTCATCATCTTTAATACCTACCCACATACTTACAAGTTAGCTATCATTTATCTGCCAGGATTCTCGAAGACGGATCGACCTAAATTTGCTCTCCATGATGGCTTCCAGGTGAGTGCGATTCTCTTGCACGTTCGTCTTAGCATTGCACCACACCACTCGCAAATGCCACCTCTTCCATTTCGAAATGCGACTTGGCCTGTCAACTCGACCAAAGCCACGACCGACACACGATGAAGCGGCCGACCGAGATGCCCGGCCCCGGTGAACGGGTGTACGATATTGCCACCGGAAGATATCTGCGGACCAAAGGCAGCAGCTATCGATATTATGGTGATTTGACAAGTCACGATTTCTCGACGTGCCCCCCCTGGTCATGGCGCGACGGCCTCAACTACGTCATCGCTCTGGTTTCAGAGTTTCGCCAACACGCCTCCAACCATGCCATGGTAGGATACGATACGAGTTCAATACCGTGATGTGATGCAGTCGCAACAGCGGCGCAACCACAGTAGCACTGGCGACGAGAGCGAGAACGACAGCGAAACCGAAAGTGTCAACTCGATCGAGCCCCCATGCCGCCGGGTCGTCCTCGATTCGACTTTGACCACCCACCACAACCCCCATCCCACCAACTCCTTAATCCTTCAAACAAGACAAGAAAACACCCTTCTAACAACTAGTCCGTTTTTTTTTCTTCCGGAGTACAGATTTGCACATTCCTCCCTACACCAGCGCGACCCGCGCAGCGACCTTTTCAAGGGCTACTCTGGCTCCAGCGCAGCCGAGCGCCGCTCAGCCAACGCCAGCCCAGCCAGGTATGGCGGTGGCGGCGGATACGGGTACGGGGGCGGCTATGGTGGCGGTGGCAGTTATAACGGTAGTTCGTCAACACTGGGGGTGGAACGGGGCGGGTTTAGGCCTGCTACTCCAAATTCGAGGGGCCAGTACAGCGACGCAGTCCTCAACGAACTCGAGAGCCAGAATGATGAGCAGGTGGAAGGGATAATGGGTAAAGTCAAGATTTTGAAGGATGTACGTTTTTGTTCTCTCTTTCTGCTCTCCTCCTTCTCTCCCACTTCCTTCTCTCGCAAGCCACCCATTACCTAACCCCATCCCTCCCCCCAAACAGATGACTATAGCCATCGGCGATGAAATTCGAGACTCCTCCGCCCTCGCCGAGAAGATGAACGAATCCTTCGACCAAACCCGCCTCCGACTCCGTGGTACCATGAACCGAATGCTCATCATGGCACAGAAGACCAATGTCGGGTGGAGGGTGTGGCTTGCCTTCTTCGCTGCCGTGGTGTTCCTCTTTTTTTACGTGAGGTATCTCTAGTACCCTTCCAAGGTCAAGGTTTTTCTGAACTCGGAAGAGAGAAAAAGAAAAAAAGAAAAAGAAAAAAGATGGAGGGGCATGTTGGTCGGCGGAGTGGTCCTCCTGCTGCTGCTGCTGCTGCTGCGTGGGGCAAAGCGATTTGAGCAAGATGGATGGAAACGAGAAAAGAGACCCTATATGTGCAAAGGAAAGATGGGATAGTTTATATATGGCTTCAATGATGGGTGATACCAATGGATGATGAGGAAAACGGAAGGTCCTAGGTCAAAGTGGCTGGCTACCTTATGGGATAGAAAAGGCATGGATATGGGTTGCGCTTGGTAGAATTTCGGGTGGACTTGGTTTTTGCATGTTGGCGCCGGGGAGTTCGCGTTTGTTAAGTCGTTCGGGTAGGATCAGGAGTCGGATTTTTCGTTTTTTTTTTTTTTTTTTTTTTTTTTTTTTTTTTTTTTTTCTATTTATTTTAATTCTTCCTAATCCGTTCTCCAACCAATTAGGTTCAATTATCTCTTTTAATCCACTGATCCATCATGAAGCTATATATGGGCTCCCACAGACGTGAAGTGGATAATCATTGAGGGTATAACATACATCTAATCAGAACTGCGTGTACACTACCACTGCATAGACCAGACCAATGCTGTAACGAAGATCAAAGTTGTCTTTTGACGGACATTATCTATTCAATCCTGCTTCTAAAGCCACCAAGTAGCTACCCATACTGCCATGATCCCAAGACTCCATGCGCCAGACTCAAACGACCTGTTATTGAATGATGCTTGCCGACCGTTCCTACCAGAACTCCTCAGTTTTGATCCTCCCTTGTTTCTATTTCCGAACCATCATGGACCTTCATTCTAGTGCAGCCTCCTCACCCTTGGACTGCTTCTCATCATGGGACTACTCTCATCAACAGACAACAGCCCACTGATATCCAGACTGCTCCTTGGCGCTCCAATTGTGCTCCGCCTGGCATTTCCCGCAAGACTAGTCCTCAACAACCGCTGCTGCTGCTGCTGCTGCTGCTGTCTCGGCAGCGATTCGCGGCGATGCTGGCCCCGCGCTGATCCCGCTGCCGAACCGGGTCCGTAGCTAACCCGGTGAGCGCGTCTGTGACTGCCGCTCATGTTACCACCGTTACCACTGCTGCTTATGCCGATGCCTGCACCTGTACCGACTTGCTCTTGTCCTCCCTCGTTATCACTGCTGTCAAGAAGCTCCGCCTCGGAATCGGTATGCTCATAGAAACCGCTTTGTGCATGCTCCTCGTCCGCCTCTGGAATGTCGTCATCTAGGTTGGCGTTCATGCCTAGACTGTCGTCCGTCATGCCTCCGTCTTCGTCCGCATATTCTCCGCTGTTGTGAGTGCCGATGATGTCGTCCTCTTCTAGCATGTGGGCTTGGTCTTCCTCGTCGATGTCGTCGTCTTCGTCTGCGGCGCCATCGGCTAGATTGACGTGCGTGGGCCGGAGACCACCGCGGGCCATCATCTCGCGCATGCGTTCTTCGTTGGCACGCACATTGGCTAGCTCGCGCTGTTGCTGTTGCTGCTGGTGAATATTGCTGTTGTCGTTGCGCCCGCGGGGATGGAGGATGGAGGAGCCGGTGCCCGTTGCTGTTGATGCTGCTTGTGGGGCTTCGACTGTGTCTTCGTCGTCGTTCCCATGATCGCCGGTGGTGGTGTTTCGTTCGGTGGTGGCTTCTTCTTCTTCTTCTTCTTCCTCTGCTTGATCATTCTCCTCCTCTTCTTGCTCGTCTTCTTCGTCGTCATCATCGCTAGCCCCATCATATCCAAATCCACCCTCGTCCGCATCCGGAATGTCCTCGTCCAAATCCCTTCCTCCCATCTCATCCATGTCATCATCACCCCCCATCAATTCCATGTCACCATCATTAGCACCACCAAAAATTCTATTCGTATTTCCCACGTCCCTTCCCTCCACGCCAGCAACCTCCTCCAACACCGTAGTCCCATTCCCATCACCAACACCAACAACAGCACCGATGTTACCATCACCGGCAGCAGCAGCAGCAGCAGCAGCAGCCGCTTCCGCCTCCGCCAGCTCCCCAGCCAGCATCTCCTCGCGCCGCATCGCCTCTTCGTGCTCCTGCCTCTCGCGCTCCTCCTCGCGCATCTGGAACAACGTCTTGCTCACGCCAAGTGGCTTCAGCCAGGTACTACCCAGGTTGCTCACGTTGGCCTTGCGGCGCTCCATGTACGTCTCGTCGGCGCGAAGGCGGCCGAGCAGGGAGCGCTCGATGATGGCGGCTTGAATGTTGCGGGAGGCATTTCGGCTGTTGTGGCCGTGGACGTGATTGCTGCCGGTGGTCGTTCCAGGGATAACGTTGCTGGTTTGTGAGTTGGTAGTAATCAGACCCTCTGGGGAAGTGGAAGAGGAGGATGGATCGAAGGCTGAGAGGAGACTGGAGGTTGAGGATGCGAGAGGGTTGCGAGAGGAGGTGTACCAGAGGGAGTGGGACTGTTTGTTTGGCGTTAGTAGTGATAAGCAAATTGAGTGTTAGGTAGGATTGGAGGGGTCAGGTGTGATGTGGGAATGGTAGGGCTGAGTAGAGCAGAGCAGAGCAGAGCAGAGCAGAGCAGAGCAGAGCAGAGCAGAGCAGAGCAGAGCAGAGCAGAGCAGAGCAGAGATAAGATATCAAAACTTACGTCGCGCGGGGCCAGGTCAGGGAGGATGGAAAACATACTGGCTCTGTTGTTAACAAGCCTTCTGTTGCAGGACTGCTCGAGTTGTTGGTTGGAAGATCGTTAATTGTATCGCATGCAAAATTTGAGCTGCGACTGGGACCGCGACGTCTTGCCTGGTTTAGCTGTGCATGTACGTAGGCGCAAAGTTTAACGTGAGGTTCCGAGACTATCCAGGGCGCGTTGATGGTGAAGTTCGCTGATGATGATGCCGTGGCTGTTCAATAATTGCCGGTGGATAAACGGCAAAGGTATGATAGATTCGAGGAGGAAATTATTGGGATGAATGGATCTATTGGTTCCGTATGGAACACTACGATCTGATGTCTAACCAACCTAAGCGGTGGTAAAGTGCATTGTCGTGAATTCAGCTTCTCCAGAGTACGGTCCATGTTTTGGATGAGATCCCTAGCAAACCTTCGTGCCATTATGTATTTAGAGGTACAGCACCGGTACAGTAGTACCCAGCATGTATGCGCAATGTACGTGTAGGCTACAAGTAGGGTACGTACCCTATCTGAGCTTTACCCCACGATCGGATGCGGCTATGTACTGCGTAGTATAGGTAGTGTACACATGCTGCTGCTACTGCTGCCCTAAGAAGTGACTTGTTGAGGTACATAACATTTCAACAACTGAGCTCATCGTTCTTAGGTACCTACCTAGGTACTCCTATCATTTGCCGTATTTACTTACTCGGTCTGATTGCACCGACCAGTTCACGCAGGAGCCTCCACCATCGCTGTAGGTAGAGCAAATGTCCAAACGTCCTAACGTCTCAGCTTCAAGATCGCTCATTCCACTCTGCACATGGCGTTACTACTGGGGCTTTTTTGGGGTCACTACACATACCCAGCAAGTCGCTGACCATCACCAACTCCAGTCACTTACATAGAGGTAGGATTTCATCAGATAAACAGGCCCTGTCAACCCAGAAGTCACGAAGCTCTCAAGAATTAGGAAGTTATTCCGCCGATCTCCTGGTTTCGTCCGGTGGCCGTCTCTGGTCAGACATGGAAAGCCAGCCACAAATCGCAAAGAGCAAAGAACACAAAAGAGAACAACTCAAGGACAGAGCCATCTGGTGTAGTATGTATGTAAAGTATGTACACTAGTTTTCATGAGGTAATCGGAGGGACTTCAATTCCCCATGTCGAGTGGCGCGAACTGGTCTATGACCCTTGTCCCTACCTCGGTCTTTTTACACTAGACTACTGCATGCTGTTAAAATGCTTGTATGTGGTAGTGCAAGATGTTAGCGCCTTCCATCCTATTTTTTTTTTTCCTTCCTGAACGTCTGACATCCGACCTACACTAGCTGAGGAGCTAGCGCACCCCACTTCTTCGCTCGGGCGCTTGAGTTATCGGGAGTTTTCGGAAGCACCTTGGAAGTTATTCGCACTAATGCTTCTGTTCCGACCTCATTCGCGAGTGTACACTGTCGAAGGGCAGAGTGGGTGGTTATTGTCTGTGATGCTATACAGTAGTGTAGTGTAGAAATGCCTTGAGGATGCCCGCGCCTGTCTGCCATGCTACTTTGTTTTTTGTAATGCCCTAAACGAGGGGAAAAGGCATGACTCTGTGTTGCGAATGGGCGTCGAGCTTATCAGGCTGCATCGAAGACAAGTTCATCGATATTGGATTGGCTCGCTTCCGGCTGGTTGATCCCCAAAACTCAAAGTCCGGGGGCGTTGTGTAGCAGGTTGCCGATGTCGGTCGGTCTTTGCATAATCGATTCCTTGTTGAATGTGGTGAGGGTGGTGTGAAGTCGAGAAAACGCCAAGGCTGCGTAGCTTGATGATGACTCTGCCAATATTCCCAACAGAGCGCAGGAAGTTTCCGGAATCAGGTGTTCGAAAGAGGGAGAAGGGAATTCCTCGAAACAGATACGATACGTCCACTTGAAAAGGTTACTACTGTTAGCTTAGGTAGTCTGCTTCGAAGTGAGCCGGCGCGGGCGGCTGTCTTTCAGTCAATGCATATCTGGTTTCTTTCTTTCCGCGTTCAAGTGCCATCTGCGAAAAAGAGTACAAGGTAATCCCCACTTCCCTCGTTTCGGATGGACACCATCACGGGTTTTATTCTTTGCCTATTTTTTTTTTCGTTTTCGTTTTTCTATGAAATACCACGGTCCCTTGTCTGATTTCGCTGGGTAAATGGTGCCGCATTTTCACCTTCCCCCCCCCCCCCCCCCCAAGCTGCTCCCCCGCCTTTGAATATAGTCATTGACACTACAGAAAGGAGCGATGCACAGACGTCACCTTACAAACTTTCCTTCCATATGTTGGCCCCGTGCGAATGTGCGACAAGGAGGGCGAGGAGCGACGAAACGGAATCACTGTTTACTGCAACACATGCCCTGTTGTGAGTAGAAAGAGTGCTGTGTGAGGCGGCTTGTCCTCGATATCCAGCAAGGTGCTCTGGCCTTTTATTAAAGTGGGTGACGTAGTCGCAGTGGGCTATCTGCCAGTTGACCCTCCCGACCCGAGCGGGTGAAAGTGGACGGAGACCCGCGATCTCATCGACCATATATGACTAGTAGACTTTTGAGAGTTAGGACGGCGCGGTGTTTTGCATAGTTGCGGTCCAGCGAGTTTTTGGTTTGTTCACTGGCCTTCGCGCAGTGATGCCATGCTTCTCGTAGTGAATATCCTGTCCGTGCAGCAGAATGTTGACTGCGCGGATTTCGGCGATTTAGAAATACTCGTGTCGCCCTTCTTGGGAGACCAAGTCATTTTTTTGATAAGGACTGAGGTGAGCTCAACCCGCGGTTTTTGGTTTGGTTGGCGGGGCGTGATGTTTTGTGCTGATGATTCTTTTACATTTTGGATCATCATATGTGTGTACACTGATTCCGTATCTCCCGCCAAGGGCTGGTCATGGTTTCTTTTTGGGTGCCTCTGCAACGCTGTTACGACCGTGTTGGTTTTTCTTCAAGACCTTTCTTTCCCTCGCTCTCTGAACGGTTGCACGCTTATAGAGATCTCATTGGGATTCTGCCAAGACGGCCGTCTGACTCTGGGCGATTGGGTAGGTGGGAGCCGTTGTCGCATCGCCGATGATTCGAAGGGTCTGGGGGTTCAACCGTCGTACCACAAGAGCACCGACAAACCCCAACGCGTGGGATATTGCCTAGACGGGATCTTGTCTGAATAAGTGATGCCCGATTGACGGGCTGAGTAAGGTAGGGAGATCGTATGTGTCGTATGAAGATAGGATCCCATATTGACTCTGAATCAGTACAAACTCCTCTGTCATGAGTGACTGTGAGGATTATCACATGTTATTGGTATGGGCGTTAGTTGTCGTTGTCGTGCGCTTCGTTCTCGACCGAGCCGGTGCACAGAGTCTCCAGGATGTCCAGGGACCTGACTGAGTGCTCTCCGCCATGAGGTACGTGCCGGCGACATCGGCCCTTGTGAGATGGGTGTTGGAAAAGCAAGCTTGATGATTGGCCTGCTGGGGCACGACGCTGTGACCTCTCCTCTTCCTTGCCAGCCTTCCGAGCAGGGGTTTAAAAGTCTAACATGGATGCCTTGCATGCACTTGACGATGTGTGGATCTTGGGCTAACTCTAACTGGACGCCGTGAGAGTGGGGTGTTAATGGCTGCTTCCACTCAGTGCTGTTTTCTTTAGTGTACATAGTTTCTCTTTGTTGAAATGAAATGTTCCTCTTTGGGCAGTCAACCACCAAAGAGCTAATCCCACTCATTGGAAACGGCTGACGCCCACTGAAACAGGTGACTCAAATCAGTCTGGAGGTTGGAAATGAAAATGATATCCTTTTTGACTCTCTGATCAGTCTCCCAAAAACAAGTCCATGACGTGGTTTGCCGGGCGAGCCCGGAGGTCGTGATACCGCCTGTACTTGTGTGTTGCTACAAAACACGGGATGAGAAGTGTCATCGTCACACAATCATGTGGTTATAGTAACTTCCCTTACCCTTTGCTGGACGCCTTCAACTCCATAAGCGTTGGTGCTGGAATACAGTAGTAGAAGCGGGGCCTTTGGAGAAAGGCATTGATACTATGTTGTATGATGGAATTTAAAAAAAAAAAAAAAAAAAAAAAAAAACCAGCTGGTAGAGTGACCGCTCAGGCGCTTTCTTGCAGCCGATGTATACACTACGGATGGGCAAGAGTCGCCCGCGTTGTATCGACACCGAATCACCAGCGCAGCCCAAAAGGAGGAATGTTGAAGCGGGCGTGGGGCGTAAATCCCAATGGTGGACATAATTATTATATCTCAGTCCTTCGATACGTCTAGAGTCGTGAGATATCGTGAAATGGACACAAGTTGGAGGAGGAGGGAGCAATGGATATTTCCCCACTCTTGGGCGTGTGCCAACACCCTCAATCGGGCATTCCTATCTGTAATGGCGCCCGCTGGGGTCCCGGTTGGTCTACCGCGTTAGCTGCCACATGCGACTGTGGAGCTGTCCAATCTGCGTCTTTGGATTTGTTCACTAGGCCCGCCCGCTGCCTGTTGGACATGGTCCCTCTCTCGTCTCGAGGTTGCATTTCCCGTCTCCATGTAGTGTACAATCCTCTCCAGGGCCTGGCACTCCGGCTTGGCCTGCTTCCACTTCTCGTGTGTGCTCCGCACCGGCCATTTTCTTGACTTGGAGCAACCCAACAGCCGACCAAAGAAAGTCGGATCTGTCGTTCAAATTGCCCCGAGCGCCGCGGCCACCTTTTCCGTCCTCCGTTCTACGCTGGCGTGTCTTCCCGAGCTGGTTCCATCCCCCCCCCCCCCTTCTCCTCCCCCCCTCCCCCCGCGGAGGCGGAGCGCCCGTTCTGTTCATAAAATCCGTCATCGCCACCCCTTCCTCTCCTCCATCCTCTTCTTTTTCTCTCTTTCTTGTGCACTTTCGACCTTCCTAACATCTGGCCCTGCCTTCCAGTTGTTACTCCGTTGGCCACTACAACAGGTGCCTACAGTATTCACAGCTCGTCAGCTAGGAGGTGCTCTTCCTAGTCGAGTTTTGCATGTAAGGAACTAACATCCAGACCCTCCCTTCTTCCCTTCCCATTCCCTCTTCCTCCTTACCAGTTCCGATGCTTGGACAAGACGAATCGACATTCGGCGACACTTGTAACTGTCGAGGGCAAGCTGCGACTTGGAAACCGCCATCCGCTACAGGCACGCAAAAAGAAATCGCATTGGACACTTGGTCGGCTTCAATCTGCCGTGTCTTGGTCTCTTCCACTAGTACGAGACCAGCGAATCAAAAAGGCTTCAGTGCCCCGAGACGATACAATTCGATCGTCAAGGCCCCGCGATCTCACAAGCTATGTACACTACCAAGTTTACACCACGACCGGTCGGTAATCAGCGATCCCACACACACGACACTCAGCCCAGAAGATACGTACTTTCCCGAGCTTCCAGCCGATGACCACTCCCAAGACGGCACAAAGCGCCACGCTTGTTCCGAAACCGGAGTCACAAGCCATAGGTTCCCCTAGAAAGAGACCTAGCGCTGTAAAGCCATGGACACAGTAGCAACTCGGATGCTCAGAACTTGAAAAACATGGCCATCTGGATGGACGTAGCAACTTGGCATCGATCTTTTCACAGTCATGACGAGACAGCAAGAATGGACGACATGGAAACTCGGTCGTCACCAAGTGGAAACGCAGGGTAGAGCCAACTTTTGTGGTGATGCCCCTGGCACACTTGGTGGGCCCCGCCCCCGCCTCCCTAGGAGCCTGGCCCTTGGGGGATCTTGTGCTGGGATCTTCCAGTCGCCCCCGGCTGCCCACTCCCCCGCCTGTGCATCCCACATTCATCTCCCTCACTATCACCAAAACGGCATGGAGCTTTTTCACCTCCATCACTTCCACTGCTGGCTGCTTCTACACATAGAATGGCGTGGAGATTGGCTGCGCTGAAATACCTACCGTCAACACCGCCACATCAAGACCGATGATCTTGCCTTCCAGCCGATCTCCCCGGCAAGACACGGTTGGGCTTGGGGTCTTGTCGATATCGGATGCTGCTGGCCTATCAAAAGACAGGACGACAACCGCATGGGCGCGATAAGGAAAGATTGCAATTGGCTTTTTTTCGTCATATCGTCCCACGCAGTTGGTGTTGGAGTTGTGAGTGGGCAGCCCTGGAATTGGCTGGGTACGACTGTGCGTTCCATTGCATCACAGGCTCACACGAGCAGCAGCTGCCGGCGAACTTCAAACAGCACTCGAGTACCACCGCAGGAGCATCACCACCACTCGGACGCACACCCACCCAGGCCACCCACTTCTACCCCGATTTCTTGTTTCGAGATCTACCGTAGCAAGCCATCGGATGGTGTGTTAGCGAGGCATCTGCCGTTCCACTTGTCCCGTCCACACAGACTCCTCAAACTCAGCCGGTGGCTTGGGCGTTTTTTATCATGATGCCTCCAACTCAGATTAGGGACCCGGTGCGTCTTGGCTTCAGAGCTCCTCCCTCATGCTCTCTTGTCGCGAGAGTTTGACTAGAGGCCCGCTAGCCTGTTGCCCATGGTTGCCGGTTCAACCTGCCAAGATCGGGCATTGCTGCTTGGCTCGGTGTCCATACTGTCGTGTGTCTTGTTTGCAACAGTTGTCTATTTTACCTTTCCGCTATCGGATCACCGACGTACATAGAGCCGTGTCGCCTCCGTCCAACTGCATAACTGCAATATTCGGAACCCCCCCTCCCTCTTCCATCTCGCTGTGCAGATCGGATTTGTGGCCATCAAAACTTGAACCGTGCCCTGACAGTTGACTGACTTTTCTTTCCCTAGATCCCCATTTCTCGTCCGAGCCATCCCCTCTTCCTTTCTCTTTTCTCCTTGTTCACAAGCTTGAGCTCCGATAGCCAAGTCGGCGCCTTTGACAGTTTCTGAACGATACCCATACCTCGAGCGTTTGCCAAGGACAGCCTGCCTAGCATGGGCGCTATCGAGGATTTCGACGACCGACAAGTGCATCTTGAAACAGAGAAAGAGCAGTATCATCCCTATGAATACCAAACAGAGAATAACTCTTCGTGGGCTGGCGCCTTGCCGGTGAAGCAGTGCGTTTGACCCCAACCCCCTGTGATAAGTTGGCCAGGTTGGCTAACTACATGTTGTTTAGGGGACTGTACGATCCCGAGCTCGAAAAGGATGCCTGTGGTGTAGGTTTTGCTTGGTAAGACCCCAGAAAGAAACAAATTCAAGGTACTTTGAACAAACGCTTATCTGCCATGCTACAGCCATATCAAGGGCAAGCCCAGTCACAAGATTGTCAGCGATGCACGAAACCTGCTCTGCAACATGACCCATCGTGGTGCCGTGGGCTCTGACGCACGCGATGGCGATGGTGCGGGTGTCATGACATCGATCCCCCACAAGTTCTTCGTGAAGAACTTCGCGCGCGATGTTGGAGTTACGCTTCCTCCACTCGGCCAGTATGCTGTGGGAAACTTGTTCTTCAAACCCGATCCAGAGACACTGCAGGAGTCGAAGCGGCAGTTGGAAGAGATTGCCGAGTCGTTGGGCTTGAGAGTTCTAGGATGGCGAGAGCCTCCCGTGGATTCGACTTTGCTTGGCCCTGCTGCTCTTTCCCGAGAGCCTTCCATTCTGCAGCCTTTCGTTGTGCTAGCGTCTGCTTACGGGCCCGGCAATGAACCAGAAACAACTGATCCCGAGAAGTTTGACGAGAGGCTGTTTGAGCGGCAGCTCTATGTCCTCCGGAAGAGAGCTACACACACGATTGGGCTGCAGAACTGGTTCTACATCTGCTCCCTTTCCAACAAGAACATTGTCTACAAGGGTCAGCTGGCGCCGATTCAGGTTTACCAATACTACAATGATTTGGTGAACTATGACTATGAGGCTCACTTTGCCTTGGTGCATTCGCGTTTCTCCACCAACACCTTCCCCTCTTGGGATCGTGCCCAGCCTCTCCGATGGGCTGCTCACAACGGTAAGCGATAGATCTTGCCCGTAAAACACTTGGTGCTCCTCGCTAACGGAATCTTCGTAGGTGAAATAAACACCCTTCGCGGCAACAAGAATTGGATGCGTGCCCGTGAGGGAGTCATGCAGTCTGATGTCTTTGGAGATGAGCTGGAACTTCTCTACCCTATTGTTGAGGCTGGCGGTTCCGACTCTGCTGCCTTCGATAACGTGTTGGAGCTCCTCACCATCAACGGCGTGCTCTCTCTTCCCGAGGCCGTGATGCTGATGGTGCCCGAGGCTTGGCAGGGAAACCAGAGCATGGATCCCAAGAAGGCCGCCTTCTATGAGTGGGCAGCTTGCCAAATGGAGCCCTGGGATGGCCCTGCGCTCTTTACGTTCGCTGATGGTCGTTTTTGCGGTGCCAACTTGGATCGTAACGGTCTCAGACCTTGCCGTTATTATGTGATGGACGACGATCGCATTATCTGCGCGTCTGAGGTCGGCACTATCCCCGTTGAGCCCGAGAAGATCATTCAGAAGGGCCGTCTCCAACCTGGCCGCATGCTTCTCGTTGACACTCGCGCCGGTCGCATCATTGATGATTCCGAGTTGAAGGCTGCTGTCTCTAGCCGGGAGGACTTCAGGTCATGGCTCGACAACGAACTCATTACCATGCCTCAGGTGCTCGAGACGCTTTCCGGGAGCCAGAGCATTGAGCTTGCTGCCAAGCCTGATGACACCAAGATCCAGGAGGACCCCCTATTGCACGCTTTTGGATACACCTTTGAGCAGGTGAGCTTGCTGCTTGGCCCCATGGCCTCGGATGAAAAGGAGGCTCTTGGTTCCATGGGTAACGATGCTCCGCTTGCCTGTCTGTCCGATGCTCCCAAGTTGCTGTACGAATATTTCCGTCAGCTGTTCGCTCAGGTCACCAACCCGCCCATCGATCCTATCAGAGAGTCGATTGTCATGTCTCTTGAATGCTACGTTGGTCCCCAGGGCAACCTTCTCGAGATGGACTCGTCACAATGTGGAAGACTCCTGCTTCCTAGCCCCATCCTCTCCATTCCTGAGTTCAATGCACTCAAGAACATGTCTACTATCCATCCCGAGTGGACTGTCAAGACCATTGACTTGACATTCCCCAAGAGGGAAGGCATTGAGGGCTACATTAGACACCTTGACTATATTTGTATGGAGGCTACTGCCGCTATTGAAGCTAGTGATCGTATCATTGTGCTGTCTGACCGCAACACCTTCAAGGACCGTGTCGCTGTTTCTGCTCTCCTCGCTGGTGGCATGGTTCACCATCACCTTGTCAGCAACAAGTGGCGTGCAATGGCAGCCATTGTCGCTGAGACGGCCGAGGCTCGTGAGGTTCACCACATGTGCGTCCTCCTTGGCTACGGTGTTGACGCCATCAACCCCTACCTTGCCATGGAGTGCATCATCAAGCTCAACAAGGAGAAGCTCATCAAGAAGAAGCTGACTGATGATGAGCTGATCTACAACTACAAGCACTCCTGTGATGGTGGTATCCTCAAGGTCATGAGCAAAATGGGTATCTCTACCTTGGCCAGTTATAAAGGTGCCCAGATCTTTGAGGCCTTGGGTGTCGATGACAGCGTGGTTGAGCGCTGCTTCAAAGGTACTGCCTCCCGTATCAAGGGTATTACTTTTGAACTTATCGCTGAGGATGCCTTCCGTTTGCACGAGCGCGGTTTCCCGTCGCGTTATACCGTTGCTGTTCCTGGACTTCCCGAGTCTGGTGAGTACCACTGGCGTGACAATGGCGAGGCACATGTCAACGATCCTACTTCTATTGCAAACATCCAGGATGCCGTCCGTACCAAGAACGACAAGTCTTACGAGGCCTACTCACTCTCCGAGTACGAGCAGATCAAATCTTGCACGCTTCGTGGTATGCTTGACTTCAACTTTGATGACTGCTCTCCTATCCCTATCGACCAGGTTGAGCCTTGGACCGAGATTGTTCGCCGATTCTGCACTGGTGCTATGTCGTATGGTTCTATCTCCCTCGAATCTCACTCTACCCTGGCCGTTGCCATGAACAGGCTTGGTGGCAAGTCCAACACCGGTGAAGGTGGTGAGGATCCTGAACGGTCCCAAAGGCTGCCGAACGGCGATACCATGCGCTCAGCCATCAAACAGGTGGCCTCAGGTCGCTTTGGTGTTACATCTGCTTATCTGGCCGACTCTGACGAACTTCAGATCAAGATGGCACAGGGTGCCAAGCCTGGTGAGGGTGGTGAGCTTCCTGGCCACAAGGTTTCCAAGTCCATTGCCCGCACTCGTCACTCTACCCCTGGCGTCGGCCTCATCTCGCCACCTCCTCATCACGATATCTACTCGATCGAAGACTTGAAGCAGCTCATTTATGACCTTAAATGCTCGAGTCCTCGTTCTCGCGTTTCCGTCAAGCTTGTGTCTGAGACTGGCGTTGGTATCGTCGCCTCGGGTGTCGCTAAGGCTAAGGCAGACCACATTCTCATCTCTGGCCATGACGGTGGCACTGGTGCTTCCCGCTGGACTGGTATCAAGTACGCCGGTCTCCCCTGGGAGTTGGGTCTTGCTGAGACTCATCAGACCTTGGTGCTTAACGACCTGCGTGGGCGCGTTGTCGTTCAGACTGATGGTCAGCTCCGTACCGGCCGTGATGTCGCCATTGCTTGCTTGCTGGGCGCTGAAGAGTGGGGATTTGCGACCACTCCTCTCATTGCCATGGGCTGCATCATGATGCGCAAGTGCCATTTGAATACCTGCCCTGTTGGTATTGCCACTCAGGACCCTGAGCTTCGGAAGAAGTTCACTGGTACGCCTGAGCATGTGATCAACTTCTTCTACTACGTAGCGAACGAGCTCCGTGCTATCATGGCCAGGCTTGGTTTCCGCACCATCAATGAGATGGTTGGTCATGTTGAGGTGCTCAAGGTCCGCGAGGATCTCAGGACCAAGAAGACCTCCAACATTGACCTATCTCTCATCTTGACTCCCGCCCATAAACTCCGTCCCGGAGTGGCAACTTTCAATGTCCGCAAGCAGGATCACAAGCTTTACGTTCGCTTGGACAACAAGCTTATTACTGAGGCTGAGTTGACCCTTGATAAGGGACTGCCTTCACGTATTGAGTGTGACATCGTTAACACTGACCGCGCCATGGGCACTTCACTGTCCTACCAAATTTCCAAACGCTATGGCGAGAAGGGACTGCCTGATGATACTGTCCATGTCAATATTAAGGGTTCTGCGGGCCAGTCCTTCGGTGCTTTCCTTGCTCCGGGTGTCACGCTCGAGTTGGAGGGCGATGCCAACGATTACGTTGGCAAGGGCTTGTCCGGTGGTAGACTGATTGTCTACCCCCCTCGTTCCGCTGTATTCAAGGCTGAGGAGAACATTATCGTTGGTAACGTGTGCTTGTACGGAGCCACTAGCGGTACCTGCTTCTTCCGCGGCGTTGCAGCTGAGCGTTTCGCTGTACGCAACTCTGGTGCCACCGCCGTTGTTGAGGGTGTCGGTGATCACGGCTGCGAGTACATGACTGGTGGTCGGGTCGTGATCCTGGGAAGCACTGGCCGTAACTTTGCTGCTGGTATGTCTGGTGGAATCGCCTACATCTTGGATATTCAGGGCGACTTCTTGACCAAGCTCAACACCGAGATGGTTGAAGCCAGCACTCTTGAGGAGGCGGAGCCTGAAGAGATCGCATTCATCCGCAGTCTCGTTGAGGATCATCACCACTACACTGGTTCCGAGCTTGCTGCTCGTATTCTGGTTGACTTCTCCCGTGCCCTCAAGCGCTTCATCAAGGTACTACCCGTCGACTACAAGCGCGTACTGGAGGAGGAGAAGGCCAAGGCTGTGAAGCAGGCCGCCGAGACCAAGCGGGCTGAGTACAGCCTTCCTGCGGCTGCGAGAAAGGAGAAGGATCCTCATGCGCCCAAGCTTCAGGATATCGAGGAGAGTATTACTGATAACGCTATCAGCAAGAAGAAGGCCCTCGTATTGGACAAGACGCGCGGTTTCATGAAGTATCAGCGTCGCGCTGAGAAGTACCGGAAGCCCGCGACTCGTGTTAAGGATTGGGCTGAACTGTCTCAGCGTCTTGATGAGGACGAACTCAAGTACCAGTCTGCCCGTTGCATGGACTGCGGTGTTCCCTTCTGCCAATCCGATAGCGGCTGCCCAATTTCCAACATCATCCCCAAGTGGAATGAGCTGGTCTTCCAGGGTCAGTGGCGAGATGCATTGAACCGCCTGTTAATGACCAACAACTTCCCCGAGTTTACTGGTCGCGTTTGCCCTGCTCCCTGCGAGGGTGCTTGCGTTTTGGGCATCAACGAGCAGCCTGTTGGTATCAAGTCGATTGAGTGCGCCATCATTGACCGTGGTTTCGAGATGGGATGGATGGTACCGGAGCCCCCTAAGATTCGCACAGGCAAGAACGTTGCCATCATTGGATCTGGTCCCGCTGGTCTCGCTGCCGCCGACCAGCTGAACAAGGCTGGTCACAACGTTACTGTGTATGAGCGCGCCGACCGTCTTGGTGGTCTGCTCATGTATGGCATTCCCAACATGAAATTGGACAAGCGCATCGTCAAGAGACGTACTGATTTCATGGCTGCTGAGGGTGTCCAGTTCAAGACTGGCGTTGCGATTGGCGAGGATATGACACTCACGGACCTCAAGAAGCAGAATGATGCTGTCATCATTGCTACCGGTGCCACTGTCGCCCGCGACCTTCCTATCAAGAACCGCAATCTTGAGGGCATCCATTTCGCTATGGAGTTCCTGCACAAGAACACCAAGTCTCTTCTTGATTCCGAACTGGCCGACGGTTCCTACATCTCCGCCAAAGATAAGCATGTCATTGTTATTGGTGGTGGTGATACCGGTAACGACTGCATTGGTACCTCTGTCCGCCACGGTGCCAAGTCGGTCATTAACTTTGAGCTTCTCCCCAAGCCTCCTCCGGCTCGCGGCCGCGACAACCCGTGGCCGCAGTGGCCCCGCGTCTACCGCGTGGACTACGGCCACGATGAGGTCAAGCAGCACACGGGCAAGGATCCTCGTGAATACTGCATCATGTCGGAGGAGTTTGTCGATGACGGCAACGGAAAGGTGAGGGGTATCAACACGATCCGCGTGGAGTGGACCAAGTCTGCCAGCGGCGGTTGGGACATGAAGAAGATCGAGGGCTCGCAGCAGTTCTTCCCTGCCGATCTTGTCCTGCTGTCCATGGGCTTTTTGGGACCTGAGGCTCGTGTGCTCGGCGATGAAATCGAGAAGGATCCTCGCAAGAACGTAAAGACTCCTCCCGGCAAGTATAGCACCAACGTCGAGGGCGTGTTCGCTGCCGGTGATTGCCGTCGTGGACAGTCGCTCATCGTCTGGGGTATCAACGAAGGTCGCCAGGCTGCTCGCGAGGTGGATCTCTACCTCGAGAAGAGCACATGTTTGCCTGTTACTGGTGGTATCGTCAAGCGCACCGCTGAGGAGGTGTTCGCCGCTGCCGCCGCAGCTTGAATGGTGACGGGGAATGTCATGATATCAGGAAGAGGATACGGTTGGGACCATTACCGTGATGGATGAGAGCGGCGATGGGAATTCTTATGGTTTATTCTGCATCGGGTTCATTCAAGGTTGATACCACTGGTGGAAGCGTTTGTTTCTTGGCTGCGGATTCTTTTTGTTTCTTACGTTTCAAAAGAAAGCATGCATGCTCATATGGCCCTTTTGGGATTCCGATGTTCTCGCCAGTTTCCTGTTCTGATTTATTTCTCGATCGTTTGGTTCTGGGGTGGTCGGGTTGTGTATATACCATTACCGTTTTACGAATACATATTTTTTTTTCCCCGAATGTTCCTGGACTCGCTACATCAGATATCATGCAACAAACTGACCTTGCTGCATGTGAGGTTATCGTGACATTCCTGTCTTGGCGGGGAGTACGTAGGTTGTTGAGAATCTGCGGACGGCGACGGGGGCACGTGTAGTCATGATTGGCCAATTGCAGGCCTGGACGCCCCTGTCAGCATTGGTGGGTTTAACTGGAGCAGGCCTCGAACGCGCTCCGACGCAATCCCTGCGACAGTGACGAAGTGATGTGGGGATGTTTCCACGAAGGTCTGGCGTCTCCACGGACCACGAACAACACTGCAATCGTTAGCGCAATGACCTTCTCTTGCTCAATCGTGTGATCGCATCTTGGTTTTTTGTTTGCCCAACTGAATTCTTCCGTCGCCTTCCAGCGAGGGAGCTTGAAAGTCTCGATTTCCCGCAATCAATTCTCGCAACAGCATCATCGCATCACATTTTCTCAACAGCGTCTTCCACACAAGCCTCAATTAGCAGCAGCACCAGCAGCAGCAGTAGCAACACGACAACATCACTGCGACCATGCGTTTCGGCAAGACGCTCAAGCAGTCCATGTACGAGCCATGGCGGGACAAGTACATTGAATATGATAAGCTCAAGAGCCTCCTCCGAGAGGATAGACCTGACGATGACGAACCATGGACCGAGGAGGATGAGGTCCGCTTCTGCGACGAGATTTTCAATGTCCAGCTCGAAAAGGTCGCCCAGTTCCAGGAGGAGAAGATGCAGGAGCTGCGTCAGCGAGTAGATGCCGCCTTCGACAAGCTCAGAGATCTGCCACCGGCCGATTCCGAAAACAAGGACAAACCGACCGACGAAGCCCTCGCCCAACGACTCAAAGAACTCGAGGCCGAGCTGGATGCCATTACGAACGAAGTCAAGGAACTTCGAAAGTACAGCAATCTGAACTACACGGGCTTCCTCAAGATCGTCAAGAAGCATGACCGGAAGCGTGGCGATCGGTACAAGATCCGTCCCATCATGCAGGTCAGCCTGTCCAAGCGGCCCTTCAACTCGGAGCAAGGGTACACGCCTCTGCTCAACAAGCTGTCGCTCTTGTACTTCGCCATCCGCCAACATCTCGAAGAGAATGGTTCCGTAGAGCCGTACCATCTCGATCCCATAAGTCAGCCCGAGACACACAACGGCGAGAAGTATACGGCCTACAAGTTCTGGGTACACCCCGACAACCTGCTCGAGGTGAAGACGTATATCCTTCGTCGGCTCCCTGCCCTTGTTTACAGCCACCAGTCGTCCAAGGAATGGGATGGAGACGAGGACCCGACCATCACATCCTTGTACTTTGACAATGCCAACTTCCAGCTGTACTACCAGAAGGTGGAACGTGAAGCCGAGGCGTCATCGCTCCGCTTGCGTTGGTATGGTCAATTGAGCCAGAATCCAGAGATTGTGTTTGAGCAAAAGATCATACACGACAATGGCACTAGCGAGGAGCGCAAGTTCCCCATTAAGGAGAAGTACATCAAGCCGTTTTTGGATGGCGAGTACAAGATGGAGAAGTCGATCCAGAAGATGGAACGACAGGGCCAGAGCACCGCAGACGTGGAAGAGTTTCGTTCCACTGCCGAGGCTATTCAGGATTACATTCGCAGCAACAAACTCGAGCCCGTCGTTCGCGCAAACTACGTCCGAACGGCCTTCCAGAATCCCGGAGATGATCGCATTCGCCTGTCTATTGACACCGACATTGCCTTCATTCGCGAGGATACCCTCGACCGCGATAGGCCGTGCCGTGATCCAAACAACTGGCACCGTACCGATATCGACGACAGCAACATGACCTATCCCTTCAAAAACATCAACCAGAGCGAGGTGTCGCTGTTTCCCTATGCAGTGTTGGAAATCAAGCTGAAGGAAGACCAGAACCGCAAGCGACCTGTCTGGGTCACGGACCTGATGGCCTCGCATTTGGTCCACCCTTGCCCTCGCTTTTCCAAGTTCATGCAAGGCGTTGCCTCTCTTTTCGAGGACTACGTCAACAGGTTGCCCTTCTGGCTGCCCGATCTGGACACCGATATCCGCAAGGATCCCCAGGTGGCCTTCGAGGAGGAGGAGGTGAAACGAGCCCACCGTGCACAGAACGAGCAAGTAGTCGGCAGTTTCCTCGGAACCAAACTAGGCAACTCGTTCAAGCCATCTCGGAGCTCTCCAGTGGCCAAGTCATACCTCGCCGAGCGGGTGGCGGCCGAGAGCAGCGGCGCCAAAGCGCAAACCCCCGCCTCCGGGGCGACAGACAGGACCCCTACGGCTGTTACTCCCGCCGGTGAACTCAACGAAAGCAGCAGCAGCCAGCAACAGGATGGCGGCCAGCAACAAGGAGGCCGTAGCGAGTACGGCACCATGACCCTCTCCTCCGTCTTCCCTGGCTTCTCTCTCTCCAAGTACTCCAAAGCCATGCGTCTCAAGCGGGCCCAGGGCGAAGGCGGCCGCCGTGGCTCCGTGACCCTGCCGCCCGGCGTCGAGGAGCCTACCGAGTGGCTCAAGAACTCAGGCCCCTTGCAGATCGAGCCCAAGGTCTGGCTGGCCAACGAGCGGACGTTCCTCAAGTGGCAGCACATTTGCGTGCTGCTCGGCGGCTTGGCCATCAGCTTGTACACAGCCGCGGGCAGGGGCACGGTGGCGGAGTGGATTGCGGTTGGGTTCATCATCATTGCGGCGTTTGCCGGTGGCTGGGGGTATTTCTTATTGCACTCGAGGAGGAAGATGATCATTGAACGGAGCGGCAAGGACTTTGACAACTTCTTTGGCCCATTGGTGATCAGTGTTGCACTGATGGTAGCGCTGATTTTGAACTTTAGCTTTGCGGTAAGTCTTCCAGATGTCTTTTGGGCAGTCAGGGTACAGAGTAATTGCTGACTTAACTGGCTTTAGTATCGCGACTTCTTGGCTAGAGCTCAAGCTAGAGCTGCGGTTGAAGCTCTGTTCATCCAAAGCAGCAACTCATCGGCGAGTCACATCGACCTGAGATAGTGGTGTTTGTAGAGCTTGGTCGGTCGACGTGAGACTAGAAAAGAAACTCATGCTTGATGAACGAAGGGATAACAAAAGATTGGATACGGAAAACAAACTTGGTTATGACTGCATGATTTGGGGATCTGGCGTGTGGACGATGGTTGAGTAGAAGAATGTCTCGACGAAGATTGTGTTGAGGTAGGCATACATACAGACTGGCATGATTGGCAGCATCAAGATTAGTATGCAAGGGCACTTGAATCGGTAACATGTTGATGGTTATGGAAAGGGGGCATGTCCCTCTCTCTCTTTCTCTCTCTCTCTCTTTTGATATGCGCACGGACCATTGTTGCTCTGGAAAATGTAAATGGACTGAAGTTCTGAACTGGACGGCAATTCCATGCAAACAACATCTCACCAGCGCCTTTGACAAGCTCGCAACAATCGCCGTGATCATTTCCCCCAAACTCCAGACGGTGGTCATATGAAGGAAAGCTCAACCACTCGACGGCCACCCTGCTAAGATTTTCACTTGCGTCGGTTTAACGAGCCCTCGTCATCAAATCGACCAGCTGAAGGGAAATCACAATCAGGCGGGAATCATAATCAACAATCAACGACATCACCCACCATCATCAACAACAAAACCTCACATCACACAATTACTGCCAACAAATATGTCATCCCAAATTTCTCTCCACCCTCGTCCTCTCCAACCATCGCCCTCCTCAAGCTCATCAACACCCGCAACCAACCCACTCCCAACCCTTATCCAAACCCCCACGGGCCTCGCCCTCCTCGAACTCCAAGGAACTCTCAACATGCGCGACTTTGACCCATCCTCTACAGAACAAATCACTCCAATCCCTGTAGGGAGGATCGATTTCCCCGATTACCAGCCCAACTCCCTCACCTTTGATCCCAACGACAAGAAGTGGATGAAGAGGGTGTATATGTACATTGGCGAGCATCAGCGGTTGCATGGGGAGGTGAAGGGGCTGGGGAAGGCGATGGGGGTTGTGAGGAGGAGGAGGGTAAGGCAGAAGGAGGGGGTGAACGGGGAGGGGGAGGAAGAAAAAGAGGAGTTGGAGGTGCTGGATATAATAAGGTACAAGATTGTTTTTGGGACGAGGCCGGAGCCGATTACTAGGGGGGAGCAGTTCATTGGACGGGGTTCTGAACAGACCTAGGGTTAAGGACGGGAGGGTGTGGAGGAGGGGGTTGGTGGTGGCGAAAGTTAGGAATAGCTCCTAAGGAAAAGGGGAAAAAAAAAAAAAAAAAAAAAAAGAAAAGAAAAAAAAAAAAGTTCAGGCCATGAAACAGAAGGCCAACCTCAGAATCACCACGGGTAGCTTTGTTACCTACTTTCATGAAGGGAGGGTGGTGTGGTACATAGGTGCTGAAGTTGAAGATGACAGAGGGAATTTGACGAGTTATAGTGGATATTCCTATACCCCCCTCACACTTTGTTACATACAGTCGTTAGCATAGCTCGGTTACTCTGGTGCTACGTTTATCTTTGAAGAGATGGATAGACAAAAAGGTGTCATATGACCTTTGTCTCCTTCCCATCCCAAATTTTTGATTTTCTATTTTACTTTTTTTTAGCAGCTCAATGTTGTGGTTCCTGACTAATGTTTGAAGGGTCCTCCATGAAAAAAGCACGAGAGGTCACGAGGTCCCCTGGATCCTGGGTCTGGATCCAGTCTGTGATACCATGATAGGTAGGACGAGAGCGGTGAATGATATGTGTGAAGAATGAGGTTGCAGTCAGTTCGAGGCCGATTCGTCGCGGGGAAAGAATGTGAAGGCGTCTACCGGTGTAAGGTAGTGTGCGGCACCGGTGTAGCTCAGCTTGCTCCTTCCCAAGTCCGACATAGCTTCATCTCTGTCATCATTGTATACACTACCTACCTACCTAGTGTAGTAGACTTGAAGGCTCCGATCAGATGATGCATCCTATCGACTTCCACTTGCCCGCCCCAGTCTCCGATGACCTGAGGCCTTGAACGTAGTGTAGACTCGCTCTCGGAGACATCATGTTCGGACCGTTGTTCACGTTTCACATGTCGAACGACAAAAAGACCAGCAACATGAGAGGATCAACAAAGCAAGCTCGAGGCAAGCGAGGCAAGTCAAGATGGTGCCCCGCCAACCGGTGTCGTTGGAGCTGTCAAAATTGTCCACTGAAAGGTGGGGGATGCTGCAGCAGACGCCACAGCGGGTTCTGACTGGTTCAGTAGGGATGCACAATTCCCTTCCAAGTTGCCGCGAGAGTTGATGGGATCACCAACAATATGCTTCTAGGTAGGTAGTGATGATCCATTGCCCGACGCCCGCATGCCCTGGCCCGCATTTCGTTCCCGCTTCAGTTCCAGTTAGGGCCGAGTCCCGGGCCACGCAACCGCCAGAGACCTATAGGGAACTAGGTACACACATCACAAGTGGAAGCTATGGATCCCTGATGGTCCCCTTTTTCCAACTCACTCTCATCTCCACTTCGTCAATGGCGACGGCTCGTCCACACTTGCTGCATACCTAGGTAGCCTGGCACCAAGGTTCTAGACTGGCTCTTCAATACTTAGCTGGTATACATGCCACACAGGAACCTATCTTCTGTCCTTTCTCTACTCTTCAACTCATCAACTGTTTGCTTATTCTGTTTAGTGGCTCACATTCGAACCTGGTGTCCGAGCCCTTGACCGTCAACGAATCATCCAGTGCCGGAGACTATAACAGGGCCGCCACACTCCCTTGCCAGACACTGGACCGTCTGCACTCCCTCTGCCCATCTTGCCGCCAACATACAGAGCAGCCTAACGGATTCGCATCGCATTGCGATCCTGTAGTACTCGCACTCAGATCATTGACTGGATATCACAGTCACACAGCCTACTATGAAGTTTGGCAGAAAGTATACAATCCTAAGCCTGGTCTTCTCTGCCTCACAAGCTAACCGTTCGACAGTCTCCCACGTAACCAGGTCCCAGAGTGGGCAGCCTTTTACATCAACTACAAAGGCCTAAAGAAGCTGATCAAGGCCGCCCAAGGAGCGGCCAAGAATGGAGAGCCGGTAGATTTGGCCGAGTTCTTCTTCGCCTTGGATCGAAACCTTGAAGATGTTGACTCCTTCTACAACAAAAAGTATGCCGAGGCCTACCGGCGACTGAAGGTGCTGCAGGATCGCTATGGCAAGACTCCCGAGATTGTCTCCAACCTCGACGATGACGAGGTTGAGGAGCTGATGGGAGCCCTTCTCGAGCTGCGAAGTCAGTTCCGGAAGCTGCAATGGTTCGGCGAAATCAACCGTCGCGGCTTTGTCAAAATCACAAAGAAGCTGGACAAGAAGGTCCCCAACACAAAAAGCACCCAGCACAACTACATTTCCACAAAGGTCGATCTGTTGCCGTTCGCCAAGGATACCGCCATCAGCCTCCTGTTGACCGAGATCAACAAGTGGCTGTCAAAGCTGGGAGATGCGCAGAACATTGATGAGACCAAATCCGAGAGATCGACACTCTCGTTGGGTCGTGCTTCTGCAAAGGCTATGCTTAACATACCCAGTGCGCTTTTCGACAGGTTGGATCAAGCCATTCGTAAAGACGAAGTCGCGGCTTTGGAGCGAGGTCTAAAGGAGGGAAACCTAGCGAGCTCCGAGGGCTCATCACCACTACAACAGCCCTTGCTGCTTAACCTACTCCAGCGGTCCATTTCCTCCCGTTCGAGAGACTGTATCGTGTTCCTCCTCAAGCAAGTCAACTCGCTGGACGAGCCCGACGACATCAACGAACGCAACTGCATCCACAGACTTGTCATTCACATCGGTCGCACAAAAACGGCCTCGCTCCTCAGTAGTGAGCCAGAAGCTGAATCGTACCCCTTCCCGCGCACCGGGGTTCACTACGCCCAGCCTTACCTCACCCCAGCCACTTCTCCCCTTTCAGCACCGCGCGGGACGACCTTAAAGGAGTCAAAACTCCTCGGCCATGATGACGAAGCAATTCAGCTACTCAAATACCTACTAGAAAACCTGAGGCCAGACCAAAGAGTGGCTCTGGTTGCCAAAGACGGATTTGGCCGTATACCGCTCCACTATGCGGCGCAGTTCGGCTTCGTCGTCGTCTGCCAGATCATCATGCGCAAGATGCAGGACTGGGGACAGTTCAACGTCGAGAATGGCATCGACGCCCCCGAATGGCAGGACAAGGATGGAAACGCGCCGCTGCACTTGAGCGTTATAGGCGGCCACCCGCTAACCACCAAAGCGCTGCTTCAAGGAGAGAACTGGAAGGGGGTTAATGACCACCAAGCCGAAATGAGGCGTGCCATCTCCAAGTCGAGCGCGGTGCTGGCTCTCGCGACCAAGGCCAACTCCAAGGACATCGTCGAGCTGCTGGTCAATGCAGGAGTGGACATCAACTGGCAGGACAACAGCGGCGAGACAGCCTTGCACGTTGCTGCCAGATTTGGCCACGACGAGTGCGCCAGGGTGTTGCTCAAGGGTACTGAGCAGCAAAAGGCCAACCTGGAATTGGCTGAGAAGAACTTTGCGTGGACTCCGCTGCACATTGCGGCGGTTGATGGGCATCTGGGTGTCGCTCAGCTGCTCGTGGATGCTGGTGCGGATGTGGACAAGTTGGATTCGTCTGGCTGGACGGCAAAGGAGCATGCGGCGCTGAGAGGCCATCTCGATATTGCACGACTCCTGTCTGCTCACAGTCAAGCCCCTGAGGATGAGGGGGGCAGCAGCTCCGACGGCGACGATGAAAAGTCATCGACGACTACACCGTACCCCGAGACCGACAACAATACGCTGTCTGCATCCCTGGGAGATAGACGGTCCAACGCAACGTCGCGTCCCGCTGAACCCGTCAAGACCTTTGGTCACAGGTACCTCAAGGATGAGAGCCTCGTGCTGGTCAGTCTGGGTTCAATGGATATGCGCAAGGGAATCGAGGCAATCAAGCTGGACAAGGTGCCTCTTGCCGAAGCGCACACTACACAGTTGGATACGGCTCTGTCGGTTGTCGTCTCCGCCCAAGGCGCGAAGGGCGACCCGACTATGATCGACCTGCCTGTTCACGAGAACATCTCTACCGAGCCTATCCTCTTCACCACCAGGGACGCCGCCAAGGTCAGACTCTTCTTCGATATTGTGCCGACATACTCGGGTAACGAGAAGAACAAGGTTGGCCGAGGTGTTGCTCTCCTTTCGAGTGTCCGTCCCACCGTCGGCACCAAAAGGATGAATTTGCAAGGCGACATCTCGGTGCCGATTATGGGCAGCAACTTTGAAGTCATCGGCACAGTCAATTTCAATTTCCTGGTCATCACTCCTTTCTCTCACCCAAAGATGGAAGTAACCTCTCAGCAGACGTACTGGAAGAAGCTGGACTCTACCATGGTTATTGGCCACCGCGGCCTCGGCAAGAACGTTGTCGCCAACAAGTCCCTCCAGCTAGGCGAGAACACGATCCCATCGTTCATTGCCGCCGCTAACCTCGGCGCTCAATACGTCGAGTTCGACGTGCAACTCACCAAGGACCACGTCCCCGTCATCTACCACGACTTCCTCGTCAGCGAGACGGGTTTCGACGCACCCGTGCACACTCTCACTCTCGAACAGTTCCTCCACATCAACCCAGACTCGTCCCGCTCGGGCACCCACCACCACCACCATCACCACCACGGCGGTCATCACGGCCACCACGGCCAACCTAGCCAACAAGCCCAGCATAGGCAGCTGAAGAAGTTCCGCAGCAACAGCCCCGGCCCACGGCAGCGCTCCATGTCCATGGACTTCCCCGGAGATGGTAAAGACCTGATGGAAGAGCGCATGAAACACACGCGCGACTTCAAGGAAAAGGGCTACAAGGGCAACTCGCGCGGCAATTTTATTCAAGCACCCTTCGCAACGCTCGAGGATCTGTTCCGCAAGCTGCCCGAGAGCGTGGGCTTCAACGTCGAGATGAAGTACCCGATGCTGCACGAGACGGAGGAGCACGAGATGGACACGTACGCGGTTGAGCTCAACTCGTTCTGCGACACGGTCCTCCAGAAAGTGTACGACATGGCGGGGCAGCGGCACATAATCTTTTCGAGCTTCAACCCGGATATTTGCTTGTGTCTGAGCTTCAAGCAGCCCAACATTCCGATTTTGTTTTTGACGGATGCGGGCACGTGTCCTGTCGGCGATGTCAGGGCGAGCAGTCTGCAGGAGGCCATCCGGTTCGCGAGCAGGTGGAATCTGCTGGGTATTGTGAGCAACGCCGAGCCGCTGATCAACAGTCCGCGGTTGGTGAGGGTGGTGAAGCAGAGCGGATTGGTTTGTGTCAGTTATGGGTCGCAGAATAATGATCCAAGCTTGGTGCAGGTAGGTTTTTCTTGATGCATTCAAATTCCTTTTGTCATTTTGAACCAGGCTAACCAACTTTGTTCTTTACTCATAGAAACAAGTCAAGGAGGGCATCGACGCCGTCATTGTCGACAGTGTCCTGGCTATCCGTAAGGGACTGACCAGGGACCAAGGCAACGTCAATGGTAGCGGCGGCAGTAATGCCAAAGAACTTCAGCAGAGGGTGAGGGAGGTGGAGGAGGCCATCAAGAAGGAGGAGCGAATCGAGGAAGAGGGCTCGTCTGCTGAGGGAAGCAGCAATGGGGATAGTAACGGTACCGAGATCCGGATGACTACCAATGCAGAAGACACAGGGACGGAAATCAAGGAGACCTTGAGGGCTTTGCGGACATGAAGGATGGCCGGGGGAGGGGGGTTTGGGATAGCGATGCCAGGCGCATTTGAAGGGGAAGCGTTGGTTTTGGTACATGATTATCAAATTGCAATAGCCAATTTAGCAGTCGAGGTTCTTCAAGTTGTTTGTGACATTCGAAAGAGTCATCAGCTTGGGTAGAGTGGAAGCTGGAGAGGAGGGCATGAGTTAGGTAGGGGGTAGGTAGGTATATTCCTGGGCTAAACAGCACTCATTCAGTAATCGTGCACTGGCCAGATTTGTTACCTACCTAGCGCAGTGTGGGCTGCCTCACCCAGAGGTGCCGCCCGATGTGGACGGCACCCACCCACCAAGGAACTGCTTGACAAGGGAACAGTGGCTGAGACGATGTCGTGTGTGCGCGCGGGACCAGTGTACCTCTCGTCTAGATTGCGTAACCTTGAAAAATGATGGAATTGATCCTTGATCAGCTGGCCTTGTGGGCAGTGTACCTCTAGGCCTTGGTGTGGTTGCGTAAGAGAGGCGGGTTTGGGTCATGATTAACAGGACCCTGGGTCACTAAAAGTCTTGGTTTGCTTGATGCCCCTCTATAATTCTCGAGATCGACTGTTTTCACACCAGCAGCAATCAGGCTACACAGTCTCACAACGTTACTCCCAAGAAGCCTTTGTCCTTTTGATACCTTGATTCTCGTCCTGGCTTTTTCGATTTCTTGAGCCTTGATGTGGAAACTTTAACCGTTCAGGTAAGGAGCCACCAAGGCACTACCGCGTGTTGAACTTGACAAGGAGGAGGTACTACTACCAGAGGGACCTCTACCGGGCCGACCATCACACAGTTTGGCCGATTGTTTCACACTCAACGCACTCGCTCCGTCGTTGCTCGGCTGACAGCACTCAACTGACTGACCATTACGTCCACGTCCACTCCAGTCCAATCGTCCGAGGCCATCGCGCGCCATTTCAGCCACCAGTCATTCTTATCCTCCGGCCAAACTCTTCCTGTCTAGCTCCTTCTTCGCCCAACAATCCAATACGAACGCGACCGGATACGTTTTGTCGACCGGAAGACGACTCGGGCGCGAACTGACCAAGGCGCTCTCGGTTTGGAATTGGAACTCGACATCCCCTCATTGAACACCTCGCAACTTTAACTCGAATTCCTTTTCCACACACACACCCCCAAACAAAATAGAAAAAGAAGAAGCAAAAAAGGCCCGCTCAACAAACCTTAACCAACAAGGTCGACGTCCCATACACAAGTCAACTCGATGGCAGGCCCTGCGTCTCCCGGCAACGACGGCCCAACCTTTGCGCCCCCGCCGCTCCCGGCCGGCTGGATCGCGCAATGGGATAACGCCTCCAAGAAGTACTACTACGTCCAGCTCTCCACCGGCGTTTCGCAATGGGAGACTCCCACAGATCCAGCTCCCGTTGGCGCCACCCCCGGGGCCGCTCATGAACATCCGTACGGCGTGCCCGGTAGCGACGCCGATAGGAAACCCGAGATCATCACTTACCCAGACGGCAGCCAGAGCGCCAAGTACCCCGATGGAAGAGTAGAGCCGGTTGCTCCACGAGAGGATGGCACGAGGGGAATTGGAGGCCCTGATCAGGATAGAAGTTTGGGTGTACGTTCTCTCCCCCCCCCCTTTTCTTTGTCTTTTCTTTCCTGAACGTTGAAGTGGGCGCGACTGACACTTCCATTTCCTACCTTAGTCTTTTATTGGAAACACTCTCATTAGCAACCTCGCCGGCGGAGGTAAGCAGTCCCACGGAAGCAGCAGCGGTGGTGGTGCAGGTGGCCTGGTTGGCTCCCTGCTTCAGGGCGTCACGGGCGGTGGAGGCCACGGCTCTAGCGGACACGGAAACAGCAGCAGCGGCGGAGGAGGCCTTGGTGGAAAGATTGCGTCCCAGCTCGTCTCGGGCATGTTCTCTCCCGGTGGGAGCAACAAGCCCAAGCCTTCGTCCTCGTCCTCATCCTCGCAGCAACACAATTACCACGGCAACCAGTCATCTTCGCATAGCTCTTCGGGTAGCCACGGCGGTGGTCTCGCTGGCGTCATGGGCGGCATCGGCAATCTGTTCGGAAACAAGCCCAGCTCTGTAAGTTGAATGGCTGAACCCCACCGTGACTTGAAGAAGCAAAGGCTAATCAGAGAACTCCTGGTCAGAGCTCCGGCTTCGGCTACTCCAACTCGGGACAAAGCGGTTCCTACAGCGGCCAGACACCTCCGGCGACATATCAGCAAGCCACGTCGGGAGGTGGCTCATCCTCCACCTACCACACGGCCGGGCCCACGTCCCAATCGCACCAGTCACACCAATCGCACAGCGGCAGCAGTACTCCTTCCTACGGCGCGGCCGGCCAACATGCCCCCTACGGCCAAAACCAGCACGGTCAGCAGCCTCCTTACGGTAGCACCTCCTCCTACACCTCACCTCCGACTGGCCAGCAGCCCCAGTATGCTCCTCCCCCGGCCGAAGGACCACCGGGACAATATGGACAGCAAGGGCAGTACGGACAGCCCCCGCAGCAGCAACATGGGTATCAGGGTGCCCCGTATGGTCAGCCACAAGCAGGCGGCTACTATCAGCAGGCCCCCTCGTACGGACAACCGCCGCAGGGAGCTCCCTATGGCCAGCAGCAGCCTCCGTATGGCGGACACCAGGGGCAACAACAGCAGTACCCACCGCCGCCTACTACCTATGGCCAGCCACCTAGTGGTCAGTATGGCCAACAGTCTCAGTACGGCGTGCCGCCGCCACCCCAATATGGCGGGCAGCCGCAGGGACAGTATCGGTATTAGGGAGGCCAGCCTCATGATGATGATGGACTGCGTTTGACCGTGAAAGTTGCAGGTAGCCGTCAGCACCAGTTCACCGGCGTCACGTTGAGAGGTGGAATGGGAATGCCGCCAGCAGCGTCGAATTCGCGGTATGATAACGAGCTTCAAGGACGGCTACTCTGATTTCAGGTTGCGCGCAACGCCAAAAGTGGTCGACGTATAGAGGACTGAACAACCTGGCGAAGATACCAAGGACTTACAGGGGTGAGGCCGGACAAGGTCGGTTCAAAGGACATAATCGGGTAAAAAAGCTTTTAACGACCAGGTTATCGTTTTGGGAGAGGGATGCGAAGACGTAACAGGATGAGCTAGGTATCTTGAAGTTGTCGAACATCTGGGCCTGGAGCCGTAATCAGTACACAGAGGCCAGCTACTCTGGGTGGCACCAAAAAAAAGAGCCACGGCACAGTAAGGCAGTGGGGAATTCCTCTATGACGAAGCAATGAGAGCGTATACTAGCACGGAAACGTAATCCTTCCCTTCAGTTGTACTCCTGGGTCGCATATATCGGAGGATGGAACGTGTTGTGGAGCCAAGTGACTGGAGGAATCAAGGAAGTAGTGATGTTGAAGATGTATGCTGATTGGCGCCGGCAGTTTGGTTAAGCACCACTGCGTAGTTGTGTATGTTTGTGGCGTCTATGCGGCGATGGGGTATATGATCTTCTTTTTGAGTCTTGCTCTTCAAAATATGTATGGTATTGATATTGGGGATTACAGCGTACATGTACAAACCTTGGTGAAGGCGAGAAGGGAGGGTTTGCTTGTATGTGTGAACGTCTACACAGGATTATGTTTTATCTGCAGCCATTTGGGCACAAGCGAGGGCTTGCGCCGAATACTTAAGAAGGGTGAGATGAGGAAGGAGACATAGACAGACGGTTGGCAAAACTGAAAGGTGCGATGGGAACGGCAGCAATTCCGTTCCTGTCTCGCATACGTATGGCTTTCCTGTAACAAATATACCATTCACAACGGGCAAAAGCGATTCTCAAGGATATCACGTCCATTATCTTTTTTTCCCTTTTACTACCACCTTCAGATCGCCCTCTTCGCCTGTCTATCTCTCTTCATTCAGTCCTATCTCTCCTTCTTATTCTCCTCCACACCCTCACCCACCTCCTCAGCTTCCATCCCGCTCGACACAATGTCTCCAACCAGAAAGGAAACCACTCTCTTCGAGACTACCCATCCAGCCACAGCAACGACAATGATCCAACCAATCGTCGGCACCAACGACCGAGGAAGCACGTTGAACAGGAACGGGTCAAGGATGATGTCCACGTCCACCGGCGGTGGGTGAAGCATGAGACTGGCGTTGGAGGTGAAGTAATCTGCTGCGGCGGATATGTGGAGGAGGAGAGCCCCGGCCGAGGAGGAGGAGGAGGAGGAGTGCGATGATGATAATCCACCAGAGTGCTGTGACTGTGGTGAGACGGCTGGCAAGTATTCCATTAAGGATCCTGCGAGGTAAGGGGTAGTGATGACTTCTTTGGGGGTGTAAGTTTCCATGTAAAAGTTTGTTGGTTGCTTTTTTTTTTTTTTTGTTATGAACATGTGTTAGTGATAGGTTACCCACTGAAGCGGACATAATAATATGACATACCGTAGCAGCCCAACAAACTCTCACTTCATACCTCTGCCTGTCCGTCAACCCCTCCAAAAGAAACCATGCATCTTCCCCGCGAGGGTGGTCGGCGGATGGGAAGACACGGTTTAACCGGGTCCGGAGTGAAGACCGATCACTCGGGGTGGGTGTGAGAGTGTGGATGTGGTGGAGTTTGGTGTCTAGCCATCGCTGTGCTGCCTGGTCATCTTTTATGACAGTTTCCTTTTCCGAGGGGGGAGAGGAGGGGCCGAGAAAGATGGCCTTCTCTACATTGGCGAGAACCAGAGAAGAGAGGAGGGATATGATGAGGAGGGGGGTTGTTGGAGGGAAGTGAGGCATGGTGTTGTTGTTTACTTGGGGAGGGGGGACTTGTTCATGTTGGCCCCCTAAGACTAGCCTGAAGACAAAAGGATGGTCTCTCCCCAGATTAACCCCACAGTCGGAGAAGGGCTGGCCTGGCTAGGTGGGTAAATTTACCCCGGAATAAGTGGAACCCCACTGGAGCTCTAACGGTGGGCTCCCAGGCTTCAGTTGCTCGACGCTGGAACAATCACATGCTTCGGTCATTCTTCCCCATCCTCGCTTGATTATATTGTGGTACACCAAGCATTTCGAGCCGATCCGACGGTCCAACGACGACTGCCCATTCCAGCCAAAGAAGTGCGTGACGCATCTTCCTAGCACTTTCACGACAATCCGAAAACACTGAAGATTACTTTACCATGTCCATGTCGACAGGTTGCGCCATCACAACCTCGACCATCGTCTATCATTCGCTATAGAGCATCGCGACCATCGGCTTACACCACCCGACTACCCAAGTGTATTGCAAAGAAACTACCGACGAGAGAGACACTGGCCTGTCGCATGTTGGCGCCTGTCTGATTCTGAGTAGCGAAGCCTCCACGGCTCACTCAACCTACCATATCGAAGGGCCTCCAAGTCCATGACCACGCAAAGGGCGACAACAACACTATTATAGTAAGCCCGCAGAGTCACCACCATCGATCATGGCGCCCTCACTCTCCAAACCCGTCCTCCCTGTGTTTCGGGACCGCACCGTCAAGGGCATCATCACCCAGCTCACGTCCATGTACCTCGACAACCGCACCCGCATCTCACGCGCCGTCTACATCACCTTGTTTGTCGCCCTCGTCAACCGCGTCCGCCACGCCATCGCCGAGCAAAAGGCCGCCTCCGTTCGCGACGCCGCCAAGCGCGCCGAGCGCCAGGGCACCACGGCCTCGACCTCGGACGATGCCTTGGGCGGCAAGAAGAAGAAAGTGGAGCTGAACCGCGACTTCTTTCGCTCGCTGTTGCGGTTGCTCAAGATCGTTGTGCCCGGCTGGCGCAGCAAGGAGACGAGGCTGTTAATCAGCCATAGTTTCTTCTTGGTGTTGAGGACGCTGATCTCGCTCAAGGTGGCGGCTATGGATGGTGCGATTGTCAAGGCGCTGGTCAAGGGCAACGGAAGGGAGTTTATCACGAGGATTGTGTATTGGATGTTGATTGCGGTGCCGGCCACATTTACAAATTCTATGGTGAGGACCCATTCACTGTTTTTGTAACATGAGACGACATGCTAATCCTCTAAACCCACGCCACAGCTTTCATACCACCAAGCCGAATTGTCGTTAAAGTATAGGACGAGATTGACGCAGTATATCCACGACAAGTACCTTTCGCAGCTAACCTTTTACGGTATCTCTGCGCTAGATGACAGAATCAAGAACCCCGATCAGCTCATTGCGGTGGATGTGGCCAAGTTCTCCAATAGTTTGGCAGAGTTGTACAGCAATTTGGCTAAGCCGATCCTTGACATGGTACGCAACCCCCCTCCGACTGCGGCTGCTACCAATGGGTAACCTTTGGCTAACCTACAATACCTAGACAATCTACACCTTCTCGCTATCAAAGAGCGTCGGTGGAGAGGGTGTCGTATTCATGTCCCTTCTAGTCCAACTCTCCGCAAACGTCATGCGAGCGCTAACACCGCCCTTTGGCAAATATGTTGCTGAAGAAGCGAGACTAGAGGGCGAATTCCGCTTCCAGCACTCCAGACTGATAGACCACAGTGAAGAGGTCGCCCTATACGCCGGTCACGAAGCCGAGAAGGACACGCTAGACAAGGGCTATTTCACCTTGATCAAGCACGTCAACTACATCTTGCGCCGGCGCTTCTACCACAGTTTCATGGAAGATTTCGTTATCAAGTACTTCTGGGGCGCACTGGGCTTGATGCTCTGCAGTGTTCCCGTTTTCGTCAAGCTACCGGGCCAGCTCCAGATGAACATGGGTGATCGCACCGAGACGTTTGTGACAAACCGGAGAATGCTCCTGTCGGCTTCGGACGCCTTCGGCCGTATCATGTTCTCGTACAGGGAGATCATGGAGCTGGCGGGCTACACATCCCGCGTGTCGTCACTGCTGGAGGTCATGGATGACATTCAGAATGGACACTTTGAGAAGAAGCTGGTGTCTAGTTCGGGTACAGAGGATAACGAAGCTGTGCTCAAGGGCAGAGGTAAAGTGGTGGAGAGTAGGGATATCGAGTTTATCGATGTGTATGTTCCAACCTCCCCTTCCTACCAAGTCGTTTGCATGCATTGCGTCGCTAACCCTTCTACACAAAAACAGCCCTATCATCTCCCCCAACGGCGATGTCCTCGTCAAAGCTCTCTCCTTCAAGCTCAGAGCAGGTGACCACCTCCTCGTCGTCGGCCCCAACGGCTGCGGCAAGTCCTCCCTCTTCCGCATCCTCGGCGGTCTCTGGCCCGTCTACGGCGGCACCGTCCACAAGCCGCCCTTTACCGACATCTTCTACATCCCGCAGCGTCCCTACCTCTCTCGGGGATCCCTACGCCAGCAAATCATCTACCCGGATGGCTTGCGCACCATGCGCGCCAAGGGCGTGACCGACGCCGATCTGCTCGCCATCCTCAAGGTCCTCAACCTCGAGCACCTGCTCCAGCTCTACCCGGAAGGGTGGGACGCCGAGGCCGAGTGGCGCGATGTTTTGTCGGGCGGCCTCCAGCAGCGCGTCGCCATGGCCAGGCTGTTCTACCATAAGCCCCGCTATGCCATCTTGGACGAGTGCACGAGCAGCGTGACACTTGAAACGGAGAAGGTTATGTATGACAATGCCAAGGCACTGGGCATCACGCTCATGACGGTGTCGCATCGTCGTAGCTTGTGGAAGTACCATACCCACATCTTGCAGTTTGATGGACAGGGGAAGTATGTATTTACGAAGCTGGATGCGGAGAAGAGGCTGGAGCTGGAGGATGAGAAAGAGGATTTGGATGTGTTATTGAGGCAGGTGCCTGAGCTGGAGAGGAGGATTGCTGAGTTGACTGCTGAGTAAGATGTGGGATGGCTTGATGATTACATGTATATGGTGAGATGAAATGAGACGAAAGTGGAATCGAAGGTTGGTGAGTAATGGATTCATCGCAGAGGGGCAGGAAGGATGGGTCTGACTGGACCCTCGGAGAATCCCGCAAAAACTGCAGTATATCCTGGATGGCTTCATTGTCCTTCTTTTGCTTTTGGGATAGCAACTTGTTTGGAATTTAAGAGACATGGATGCGGACATGGGATTTAACCGCATATAAGTCATCGAGTTATCCTGGAGTCATCCTGGTTGGCACTGTCCGGCTCATGCCTTCCAAAACTCGTGTGGGTCCACAAATCATTTACTCACGGTTCGTAGACGTTGTAAGTTGATGCCACAAAAGTTGTGTCTTCATTCAGAGAAAAAGAAAGTAAGTCTACGATACCCCAAACAAGCATCCTCACCCGATATCCAAAACAATGGCAAAGGCTGACAATTGTCTCCCTCCAAATTCGTTAATGGTTCAAAAGTCTTTTTTTTGTGTGATCCACATCACAAGAAAGAAGAAGAAACGTACATGCGTACAAATGATACGAGTACAACGTGGTAACAAGAAGGAGTATATAACGATAATATCCAATCAACTCGATATCAACCCCTTAACCCCCCTTATCCTACCCCTCATCAATCCCATCATCCTATCATCAACTATCCATGCAATTCAATCTCATTGAACTCACTCAAGCTACATCTAATGTACAACTCCAACTCCTGACTTAGATCTTGTCAAGATACACAGCGGTACCAGTAGGCGCCGCGGGAAGCGTGCTGTTGCCAGCCGGGAAAGGAGCCAGCGTGGCAGAGGCAGCAGCGGAGGCGGTGGAAGTCTCGGCCTCATCGGGGCAAGAATCATCCTCACCCTCACCCTCAGCCTCGCCAGTGGTATCCTCATCGGGAGGGCAGGACTCGTCATCACCGGAGCCGTTGGAGCCAGAGAGGTCAGTGCCGTTGTTGCCAATAGCAGCAGTGGTAGTAGTAGTGGCGGCGGCGGCGGCGGCGGTGGTGGAGGTAGCGCCAGAGGCCTCGTTGTTGACAGCGGAAGGAGCGGTCATGGTCACGTAGACGGTGGAGGCGGGGAGAGTGACGGTGACGGCGGCAGCGCCAGTGGGGCAGTCGCTACCGGCAGCGGCAGCGGTGACGGTGACGGCGGCGGGGCATTGGCAGGCGCCGGAGTCGAGACCGGAGCCAGAGCCAGAGCCAGAACCGTTGCCGTTGCCGTTACCGGAGCCAGAGCCAGAGCTAGAGCCAGAGCCAGAGCCGGAGCCGTTGCCGTTGCCGTTGCCGTTACCGGAGCCAGAGCCGTTGCCGTTGCCGGAGCCAGAGCCAGAGCCAGAGCCAGAGCCAGAGCCAGAGCCGTTGCCGTTACCTGAGCCAGAGCCAGAGCCAGAGCCAGAGCCGTTACCAGAGCTGTTGCCGTTGCCGTTGCCGGAACCAGATCCAGTGCCAGAGCCGGAGCCAGCGTCGGGAGAAGCAGTCTGGGTGGCGACCGAGGTGACGGTGGCGCCCACGCCAACAGTAACAGTCTTGGTGCCGATGGTGGTGGTGGTCATGGTGTAAGTGGTATCAACCTCGGCACCAGCAGCAGAAGTAGCGGGGTTGCCGCCACCGACGGCATTAGCAGCGGAAGTAGATTCAACAAGGGGGTTGGCGTTGGTCATGGTGATGGTCTTGACGACGGTGTTCTCGATGGTAGACATGACAGTGGTGGTGATGACGCGAGTGTTGCCGTTACCGTTGCCGTTGCCGCCGAGGGTGATGGTGACGGCCTTGGGGGTGGTGAGAGTCTCGACGGCGGTCGAAGTAACCTTGATGCCGCTGCTGGAGGCCTGGTGGAAAACGCTGGAGGAGATGGAGGAGGCCTCGGCTACAGGGCAGACGGTGGTGGTGAGATGAGCGGTGCGGGTGACGACGGTGGTGGCAAGAGCCTCGGTGGGGAGAGTGGCCAAGTCCTCGGTCCTGGCGGGGCAGTTGGTGATGGAGGCAGCACACGAAGTGATGGTCTCAACCGAGGTAGCAATCACGGTAAGAGTGGTGAGACCGGATGACGCAGCAGCAGCCGGGACAGTGGTAGAGTTGCTGAAGATGGGAGCGGAAGTAACCGCGGCAGAGGCGGTTGTGGGAGCAACAGAGGACAGGAGGGAGGCATTGATACCAGTGCTCGAAGCCCCGGCAAGAACGCTGGAGGAGATGGACGAAGCATCAGCAACGGGGCAGACGGTGGTGGTGAGATGAGCGGTGCGGGTGACGACCGTAGTGGCGAGAGCCTCGGTGGGAAGGGCAGCAAGTTCCTCAGTCCTGGCAGGGCAGTTGGTGATGGAGGCAGCACACGAAGTGATGGTCTCGATCGAAGTGGCGACGACAGTGAGGGTGGTGAGAGGCTGAGCTCCGGGGACGGTAGCCGTAGCATTGACGGCATCGAGGAAGCTAGACACTCCCGTAGAAAGGGGGACCCCGGTTGAAAGAGGAACAGCGGTCGAGATAGCACCAAGCCCGGTGGAAAGATCGACGGCCGAAGAAGAGGCAACGGCAGCAGCCTCGGAGGAGCTAGCTACGGCTTCGACAGAACTGACGGCGGGAAGAGTGGTGTTGAAGCGGCGGTAGTGCATATGGCGAGGATGAGAGTAGGCGGTTGTGAGGGCGGCAAAGAAGCCGAGGGTAACGGCGGAGGTCTTCATGTTGACTGATGTATGTAGGTATCACGTGTGATTCTGGGTGTTGATTCTTTCCCTCTTTTTCAAGCCGTGGGTCTGAAGTTGGCTGTAATGAGTGGTTATTGCGCCCAGGCAATGTAGTTGGTGTTGTTGTTTTCTTTTCAAAGAACGAAGATCGACTTCGCAAGACTGGCAGGTTAAAGACACTTTGCCCGTAACAGAGAACGTAAAGGTGGGAAGTAAGACAAGTGAAGTCTGCTAGACTGGCTAGACGAGGAGACAAGCAAAAGGAATGATGCTTGACTTGTTAAGAGACAGACCACTAAAAAGAAGGAAGCTAAGGGGAAAAAGAGAGCAAGAGGGAGGTGAGATGACAAGCACGAGACTTCTCGGGGGCTTTAAAGGATAAATCTTTGACGCCGCATCCACACAGCCAAGAGAAAAGAACCCCTGTTGACGATGGAAGCCCTGTACGAAAACGAGGCACAGCTGGGAGACTCTTGGATGGGGGGGCTCCACAGATCCTTAACGAACGGAGCGGAGCGGGCTCTTCCATACAGAGCAGTCCCCCCGCTGTTGTCAAACGAGCAGAAAACCGAAGGACTGAGGGTAGCCATTGCGGTGAAGGTGATGATGGCGAGTACCCCCAATGGCACCACGAGAACGAGGGTTCATCTTGTGGAGGAGAGTTTCGCGAAATCCAGGAGTCCCAATTTCTGTAACACGCGCGGATAGCATCCTTGTCGTGACAGGGATAGCAGCAGGAGGCAGACGCAGGAACGGATTTCCCGAGACAAGCACCGGGCCAATGGGATCAGGATGCCCACCTCCCGAATAAGATTCCTAGGGGCCTCGAGGGGGCCAGCAACAGAGAAGCGGGTGGAAATTGCCTACAGGTAAAAACAGCATCCGTTGGGAAGAAAGCCAAGAGAAACCTGGAGCTGTGCATGGCGGGGGTTGATGGTCATTGATGACAACATCCTCCACTGGATGGTGATCGTAAGATGGACGATCGATTCGGGTTCTAGATGCTGTAAGTGAAGAGCCTCTGAGACAAGTGATCGGCAGCAAAGACTGATGCCGAGTCTCGGTTCGCGAGATGTACCGTTTGGTTTCAACCGTCAGAGCAGCGAACAGAATATCTAAACGTCAGTAAGGAGGATGGAAGGCAGGTTGTGGGCGCGGCTGAGATGAGCCTCTTTAAACATATCCGTATCCGTGTATTTATATAGAAACCAGGCCCATGGCATGGTGACACCGTCCTACCCATCCATCAGACGGATGGTCAGACTAATGATGGTCTTTGCAACAGTGTTTGCATAAACGTCCGCGACTCCCGCCCTGGTTCACACTTGTTCGAAGTCGGCTGCGCTGCGCCACCCTTTCGAGAGATGAGTTCTCCGTGTTATGTGACCCCTTGTGATGAAGACTTCTTTCAGGGGCAGTTGGGGTCGAGAAGAAACCCAGGAGAGAGAGAGGCTGTTTCATCTTTTCCAGCTATCGGCATCACCCGTGATTCGTCCGGTCGACCAGGGGCCCCCATTGTACCCCACCATCCCCATCATCTCGGAACAATCGAGGCACGGATTTCAATGCTCGATCGGAGGGGCCGGCCAAGTGAAGCTTCAATGAAGATTCCATTGCAGGCATCACCATGCTTCTGTTTCCTCGGAGACCACTACCGCGTAGGGCTTTAGACTCGGCTTCTCAAGTTTGCGGACAAAAGTCCGAAGGGCATTTGTGTCTCTCTGATGAAAAGCACGACGGGAATGTTGAGAGGGTTTGGCTTTTGGCTGTGGAAAAGGGCCGTTGTCAAGGCAAATTCGCAATTCATTCCCTGGTGACCGGCGGGAATAATGGCATTCTGACTCCTGACAAGGGAATCGGGTCCTTCTCCCTGGCGAGCTTGGGTTGCCGAACTGCCGGGTAGAAAGGTACGAGGCGTCGTCAGTTTTTTGGTCTTTTTTTTTTATCGCTGTTTTGTGGACCCAGATGCAATACGCGGACGGGAAAGCGGCAGGTGAGAGACGAGATAAATAACGAGCTTGAGAGGGTTAGGGTTTCAAGGTGACCTCTTGGTTTGTGGCACTTTCACTTTTTTCCGAATCCGACCAGTTCAACAATAAATATAAGACGTGATGAATCTCAGTCTCTTATTACACTGCGTTGTTCCATCATCTGTCGGTCTACCTATGGTTTTCTGACCACGCAGCCAAACAACATGCACAGATGTGAGCCGCACACGTTTGCAGCAGCTTTGCTCTGCTTCTGCCGAGCAAGTTTGGTGCATTGTGTCCGAATCAAGAATGTTTAACCACAATGTGTCTTTATTCGAGACGACATGGTTCACTTGAAGCTGGATTCAACTACACTACGGTAGACCCATCTTTTTCCAACTCTATCTCTTTCTCTCTCGGTCGCGATAGTGTCTCTTCGCCAATCTAGAGGCAGCTCGAGATAAGCTCTACCCTGGGCCGACCGACCGTAAGTCCATTTGGGTTAGATTTGTTGGTGTACATCCAATCCGGCTCACTGCAATCAGCGGGGAAGCATCAATGACGTGGTACCCGGGCCGAAAAGGTACCTTCTTCCCTGGCTTTCGGAGGGGCTTATCCGGCATTTTGATGGCCGTTCTTCACCATGGTCGGTGGAAACTCCGGACACGTGGGGGACAACAAGTCCAAGTTTCCGTAGCATTTTCATCACGCAATTTGCGGGCGTTAGGTGTGCTTAAAGACTAACATCGTCGCGACCTGAGGAAGCACCACGTCCCTTATCTCAACACCCCCCTCCAGCACAACTCAGGAGGTCCGGCAACTTGGGTTCAGATCGCGTTGCTTCATCTGACATGTTGACGGGTTGACGGCGGCCAGACATGCGCAAGTTCACTTTCTTCAGACATCCACGTCTCAAACTCGTCACTAACACGAAAGCACAGTTCACCTATCGCCCCTGTTATGCGGCCTGGCCGTGCTGGGCCAGCTCGGCTCCCTAGTCATCGCTGTTCCGCTGGAGTTCAAGTACCAGAGGGTGATCCAAAACATCTCTTCCGAAGGTCACCGGGGAGCCGTGGCCAGTGAGAGCGCGATATGTTCCCAGATTGGCATTGACGCCCTCCGCAAGGGCGGTTCCGCCGCCGACGCCATGGTAGCCACCACCCTCTGCGTCGGCACCATCGGCATGTACCACTCTGGCATCGGCGGCGGCGGCTTCATGCTGGTGCGCGACCCGGACGGCAACTACCACACGGTCGACTACCGCGAGACCGCGCCCGCCGCCGCCACCCAAGATATGTATAACGACGACCCGAACGCCAGCGTGCTCGGCGCCCGCTCCGTCGCCATTCCCAGCGAGCTGCGCGGTCTCGAGTACGTGCACAGCAAGTACGGCCGTCTGCCATGGCACGACCTTGTGATGCCCTCGGTTAAGATCGCCCACGACGGCTTCAAGGTAACGGAGGATTTGGTCCGGTACATGGCCAGCGCCTCGGCGTCGGACGACTTTTTGACCCGTGACCCTGTCTGGGCCCAAGATTTCGCTCCCAACGGCACCCTTCTCGGGCTCGGCGACACCATTACGCGGAAACGGTACGCCAAGACACTCCTAAAGATCGCTCTCCTCGGCGCCGACGCCTTCTACACCGGCCCGATTGCCGACTCCATCATCGCCCTCCTCCAGCCGCTCGGCGGCATCCTCACCCACTCCGACCTCGCCAACTACGAGGCCTCCATCAAGCCCGCGCTGAACATCACCTACCGGGACTCCTTCCGCATCTTCGCCACCGACGCACCTTCTTCGGGAGCTGTAACCCTCTCCATCCTCAAAACCATGGAACAATTTCCCTCCCTCAATCTCTCCTCCAACATCCCCCTCACCAACCACCGCTTCGTCGAAGCCATGAAGTTCGCCTACGGCGCCCGCCAATCCCTCGGCGACCCATCCTTCATCACCAACATCACCTCCTTTCAGGAAGCCATGCTCTCCCCCCAAACCGCCAAGTTCATCTCTTCCAAAATCCTCCCCAACTCCACCCTCCCCCTCTCCGAATACGACCCAGTAAAGAACTACGCCGCCGCTTCCCACGGCACCTCGCACATTGTCACGGCCGACCGGTCCGGGCTAACCCTCTCGTCCACCACGACCATCAACCTCCTCTTCGGCAGTCGTCTAATGACGCCTGACACGGGCATCATCCTCAACGACGAGATGGATGATTTCAGCCAGCCCAACAAGAACAACTCCTTTGGCTTTGTCCCTTCCCCCTCCAACTTTATTCGCGCCGGCAAACGTCCTCTTTCGAGTATCTGTCCCTTGATGGTCGAGCATGTGAGCAACGGCAGCTTATGGTTTGCTACGGGAGCTGCCGGAGGAAGCAGGATCATTTCCAGTACCACGCAGGTGGCGTTTAATGTGCTCGAGGGACTTGCTGTCCATCCGAATACGACCGACTTGAAGGTCAAGGGGGTGGGTGGTGAGGGAAGCGTGATGCGGGCGGCGGTGGCGGCGCCGCGGTTGCACGATCAGTTGATGCCCGAGGTGTTGCTGGTTGAGAAAGGGTACGGACAAGATGTATACGATGATTTGAAGAGGAGGGGACACAATGTGACTTGGCAGGCGCCGGGGCTGAGTGCGGTGCAGGCGGTGATGAGGTTTGGGAATGGAACATTTGTAGCAGCGAGTGAGACCAGGCAGGTCAATAGTGGTGGGTTTGCTGTTTAGATGGGATGCGCAAAGGTCAGGGATGACAGAACCTACCTCGCCGATGACAAAAAGAACTAAAAAGAAAAAAACTGGCACCTTTAGTTATGCTGATTGCCCATGTAGTACCCAAAAAGGTGCCGCGCCTTTCTTGTCAGGGACGAGCCTACTTACCCTTGGATACTCATAACGAAATAGCGGATCGTATAGACATTAGGAACAACAATGATGATAATGATTCAATGAGATAATCAATGAGAGAGGAAATTTGCTCAAAAAGTTTCAACATTATGAAATAGGATATCTCGTACTAGCTCGCTCAACCGTTCAACACCAAGCCACCTGCCACCAAACCGACCCTCTCCTTTTTGAGTCCGTTCATGCTCATCTCAACAAGCGCCTGCCGAATATACATACTCATGACAAATTCGTCGTCTCATCAGAAAAAAAAAACAGCAACAACGCCGCCTAACATATAATCTGTCTCTTCCTCTATTTGCTGGTATCGACGACATATCTGCCGACAATCTTGCCCTCCTCCATCAAGTCGTAGACTTCCTGCAGTTTGCTGAGGCCGACCGTCTTGATGGGAACCTTGATCAAGCCGCGGGCAAAGAAGTCAAGGGCCTCCTGGGTATCCTGCCTGTTACCGACATACGAGCCCTTGATGGTGATCATGCGGATGACGGTGTCGAAAACGGGGGCCTGGAACTTCGCGCCAGCGGGGAGACCGATGCAGATGATGGTTCCGCGGGAACGGACGTAATCGACGGCCTGGTGGAACGGCTTTTCGGACACGGCGAGAAGGATGACGGCGTGGGGACCGAGGCCGTCGGGGGTGGCAGCCTTGACGTCCGCGACAAGGTCTTTGGTAGTAGTGAAGTCGACGTAGGCCTGGGCGCCCAGCTCGCGGCAGTTCTTGCCCTTCTCCTCGCCACCGTCAATGGCGATGGCGTGCAGGCCCATGGCGTTGGCGTACTGAATGGCCATGCTGCCGAGACCACCGCCGGCGCCGACGATGGCGACGCTCTGGCCGGGACGAACACCGGACTCCTTGAGGCCCTTGTAGACGGTGATACCGGCGCAGAGGACGGGCGCGGTGGTCTCGAGGTCGCACTCCTTGGGGATCTTGGCGACGTGGGCGGCCTTGGCGATGGCGTATTGCTGGAAGGAACCGTCGACGGTGTAGCCAGACAGGAGGGCGTGAGGGCACAGGGGCTCGTCAGCCTGCATACAGAAGGAGCAGGCCAGGCAGGAGCCGTTGAGCCACTTGATACCGGCGTGGTCGCCAACCTCAACCTCGGTAACGAGCTCACCCTTGGCTACGATGACACCGGCGCCTTCGTGGCCGCCGACAAGAGGGAGCTTGGTAGCGAGGGGCCAGTCACCCTTCATGGCATGGAGATCGGTATGGCAGACGCCAGAGTACTTGACGTTGATAAGGACCTCATCGGGGCCGGGCTTCTGGACGGGGATCTGCTTGAAGACGACGGCTGAAAAGGAAAGTCAGAATATGGGTCACAGGTGCCACTGGTAAGGACAAAGGGTGTTGGACTTACGACCGCCCTTCTTCTCGACCACCTGGGCCCATTGCTGTTCTGGAATCTCGAACTGGGTCATTGTGATGGTGTGTTGGTATAGTGAAGTTGATGGAAGTAAAGTGAACACAATAGTCTCTTTCTATAAGAGACTGAGGAAGCTCTGTGTATATGATGGAAGTCTATGAGGTACAACAAGTGATGTAAGCCCGAGAAGAGCTGCGGCAGCCATGACCTCTTATACTCTTCCTGTCCCCCATCGCCCTTCCCTGGCCGACCGATCGGCAACCGTTGGGAAGGAGGGGGAGGCAATGGATGACCCAAGCAAGGCAGGCGGGCAGGCGTCATGGTGGACAGCGAACCAAAGAAAACACGAGACTGCAAAGGCAGGATGACTACAGGAGGAAGGGAGGCCGAGATCTGCACGTCTCTACAGACCCGGCGAGGCTAGTGGTGGTGGCCCGGTGGGAAGACAAGTCGGACGTCTGGCGAGGCAGGTTCTCGGGGGTTTGTACACTAGAGTCTTGGTGTGTGTAGATTGACGAGGGAAAACGTATGATGTTGATGGGCGAGGCGGGACGTAGAGGATGTGACGGTACGGGGAGCTCCCACTGGCCAATAGGTCGCCCATTGTCTGCACTTTTCCATCAGCCCGGTGGATACCCCTCTCGACGAGCCCCCCGTCCACGCAGTCGTCAGCAGCCTGATTGATCCATGGGAAGGGAAGCTTCAAGCTGCCGGTTCAAGGTTTCCGAATGTTGTCTCTTGAGAAGGAAGCAAAGAGGGGAGATTTCCGCTTCTGTCAAGTGTACATACAAAATGCGGGGGAGCTTGCACTCGGACGCCAACAGTTGGAAGCAAACAAGGTCACGAGCTCTCGTTAGATGAAGCTGATCATGCACTAAGCAATTAGCATAGTGAAGGTCCCCCGGTGTTGATGTGCAAAAGAGGAGAAAGCTAAAAGGAGGACGGGGGGAAATCGTGGGCTCTTGGCGCATGTCGACTGCGATCGTCCCAACTTGGCGCGAGTGATGTAAGAGACGGAGGCTGGGATCAATGGATGAGATGTTCAATTGGCTTCAGTGTGGAACTGGAGCGCTGAGTCGAGTGATGACGGCGGGGGTACCCGTTGACAAAGAACAGCGCTACACTGAGTACACTACACTAGCTTCTTGGGGGGCAGCCCGCCCTACCTCTATCCAGCCTCAGCGGAGCCCGGCTAGCGTCACCCGGACCATCAAAACGGCCCTTTTCCCGCTCATCATGTCAACAATGCCGTGAAGCACCTGAGGTTCTGATCCCATCTCGTGGTTTGTGAGACGCTTTTTCTAGTCATTATGGAGCGGCCGAAATCTCTCCGTCTCTCCTTATTTTTGTGGGAACTTTCTCATCAACTTCACTTTTGTCGTAGAACCAAACGCCCGGTGGTCGGCACCTTGAATCCGAGTACAGTCTTGGATACGGTGTTTGCCCAAAGTAACTAAAAGTCGTTGACAGCGCGCGGGTCGGGTCCGATCCGAGACCCCGCCGTAGGTCATGTTCCACCCCCACACTTTCTAGTGTGGTGTAGGTAGTCTATGTATACATAAACGACTTTCCGCTCCACCGAAGCCACTGCCTCGAACCCACCACTACATACGCTACACATTGAAACTTGTGCCTACCACTCCTCCTCCTTCTCCTCCTCCACCTCCTCGTCGAAGATCTCGTGGACGTCGTGGCTCTCCTCTTCCCCGCGCCTTTGTCAACGCTGGTTGGGTTGGTGGTAAAGCTGAAACGGAGGCTGATGGTAATAGTACGGATCAATTATCGTTCCCAGAGCAAACATGAAGGAAAACAAAAGAAAGAAAAAAAAAGTCAACTTCCGCTCGAGCGAAGAAGCCTCGAAACGGCAAACTTAGCCGGTGCAAGTGACGAGGAGGCTTGGCTTGTAAGCCACCAAAGGACGGTCTGGAACCCCTGGTTTCAGCGACGAAGCTTCTTCCCCGCATTCTTGTCCTACTACCTACCCATACCTATGGTACCGACCTCTATGAAGGCATGCAGAAAGCTGCATAACCTTAGGCTCTTTGTCCGGCGCAAAGTAAGCAATCCGACTACTGAACCCTCCGAACTGTGAATGCTCTCTGCGAACATGGTCGGTCTCTTGTGAGGTGACGTCCGAACATGGTCAGGCAACATCTTTCAACATGACAATCGCGCCCAGTCCTGATTGAAATCCAATCAATGGGCTGAGAATAGGAACAACAGGAAAAACTAAAAGGAAAAATCAGCAAGTTGTGAAAGTGATGCGAAGCTATCGGTTAGCTTGCCCGATGGGAGTTCGGCCAGTTCCAGAACTGTCGGGCCATATCAGGCCACCCGGCGCGAACCGGTGGTCGTGGTGCTGACACATCCTTGCTTACCGAGAGTTACAGTGAATGCCGTCAATGGCTTGGCACGCCGCCTCCGGAACCAGCCGATCGGTACCATCAAGCCCCTTTTTAAGGGGACCGTTGCTCTGCGTAACGGATTTCTAAACATCAACACAACAACAAACACATTGGCCGTCTACGCTGACGCAACTTTACTAGCATTAGTTCCTCTTTTCGATTCATCGCCATTATATAAACATCGGCGCCCGCTGCCTGCCAAATAAGATGCGGACTCGCTCCTGTACACAAATAACTACGCTTAAGATCCACCAGGTCCTCCGAGCAGAGCGAACCTGCGCACGATGCTGGGTCCATATTCTTGGTACTGTAAAGATCCGTCAGCAACCAGACTGCCAATGGTACAAGGGTAAACAAACATACCTCTGCCTTGGTGTGGCAATACGACCGGAACTCGGGCGTCTGACCGAGCAAGCTACCACCGAACCACGGGCCGTGCCGTTGCCTCTTGTGGGTGATAACCTGGACATCAAGACCACCGCTCTTGGCTCCACCGCTGCGCACCTCGCTGGCCTTGATTCTCGTATCGACAAGCTGCTTGATATCGCGCTGTAGCCTGCGACCAAAGTCCTTGTAGAGCGTGCTGCCACCCGAAAGAACAATGTTCTTGTAGAGACCACGACGGACATCGATGGGCGAAGACTGAATGACACCATCGACAACCACGGGCAGGGGCGTAAGGAAATCGGACGAGTAAATCTCGGGGTTAAAGAAGATTTCGGGCGCCATGAAACGCTCGTAGCCAACATCAACCGTAACTTGGCGGCCACCGGGCTGGGTAATGGTGTGCTTCAGGAATCGGCTGCGATCGCGGTCGTACTTGGCAAACTCCTTGACGATATCCGGACAGACGTAGCAGTACTCCTCCTTGATCTCCTGGGCCGTCTTGAGGGACGAATCGGGCTCGCCGCGGTCACGGAGAAGCGACTGGACAAAGTAGGTGATATCGCGACCGGCAATAGGGATCGACTTGATGGACGAGCCGATAACGTAACCTTCGGCGACCGGGATAACGTGTGTCACACCATCACCCGAATCAATGACAGTACCGGTCAAGGATCTGTCCTGGACCTTGGATGATGTCCAGGAAGCCGCAAGGGCCAGAACGGCCTGGACGGCAATGTAGAGACCGGCGCAGTTGAAGGATTCGAAGAAGATCTCGGCGGTGTTTTCGCGGTTCTCGGGAGGGTTGAGAGGCTGAATCGACGTGTCAGTGCTGCAGAGGTACTGATGTGGCCTGGAAATGGTAGTCTTACGGGCTCAGTGAGGAGGAAGTGGTGGTCCTCAGGCTCTACTCTCAGATACTTGAAGATGGAGTTGGACCAGAACCTTTCCATGTGATCCTAAGCTCCAGTTAGCTCTAGGTATTTGTGACATGCCATCTAGCAGCCTGAACGCACCCAGTTCTCGATCTGTCCGTGTCTGATGGGATAGTGCAACCCGTAGCCTAACACCGTCAGCACCCATTTCCATTGAGGCGGTGTAGACCAACGTACCAGGTCCATTGGCGGCCGCTACGGCCTCGTCGCCGATAAAGTAGTCGAGGTCTTCGGTTCCGCGCTTTGCTGAGAGATGGCCACCTGGACCAGCGCCGCCGGTGAGGAAGGATGGTTTGTTGGCTACGGCGGGGCGGCCAGAGCCCGAGCCGCCGGTGCCTGCCGAGGGGCTTTTGGTCGCGATGGCCGTCGGGAATACGAACGAGGGGGAATCATTGCCGGCGAAACCTGCAGACGACGAAGAGCTTGGTCAATCGGTGGTCATGGATATCTTGGGATGTCGGAGTCGCGAACCTAGCTTGGAGAACCCCGTGCCGCTGGTTAGGGGCTGTTAGCGATGACGGCCCCGGAGCTGTTAAGGAGCGGGCGGGGTGGAGACGGGACACTTGGATGCACGTACTTGTCCATGACAACGGCGGGGGTTGTGTTGGCCATTGTTGCGGTGGTTTGCTGCTACGCGCAGCTCGTGATGATTACGGTTTGGTGAGGCAACGACTGCTGTTAGTTGGTGATGGATGAAGTGACGGGGCGGGAGCGTGGATGGGTAGTGGATAGGCCAGGCGGGAAATGGAGGTTGATGTCCAAGATTGTACGTGCCTGGCCGAGCTAGCTCTCCTTACTCGTCTGGCTGACAGCGCTGCGTGGTACTGTGGAGGTACCTGTGCGGCTGTGCGCCAAGACCGCGAGGTCCCCGTGAGGTACGGCGGTCCATTTTGTCAGTCGGGCATTGCCAACGACGGGACCTACGCCATAGCTGGATATGACGGAACCAAACACCTCGCTGCCACCTGCGCGCCACCCGAGCCCCCCGAAAACCGATGCCCCGGTCCCAAGCACCGGAGTTCGAAGCACACGGCCCGGGCCCGGACGATGATGGCTAGGAAAAAGTGGGGCCGATCGGGATCAAACTAGGTAACTGTAGCGACAAGGTCAGCCGGACAGACAGGCGGGGATGTGTCCTTTCGAGAAGGAAGGAGATACTGAGTGGAAAATCACCTCCAGCCAGATAGATTCACTTCACACCTGCCATTTCTGTCGAATTCATTTCAGCTTCATCTCGAAGCAAGTCCACTTTGCGGAGAAGCTGCACACACTCACAGCTTCTCACTTACCTAGTTATCACAACGAATCATCAACCTGCCTGTCCAGTGTCCACATTCCGTTTCGTCTCTCTCTCTGTCGTATTCTGTATTTTGCCACCTTTGCCTTCACGCATCTTCATCCCGCCCACCTACTGTATCCAAAGGGACTCTTCACCCCTCGGGCCAACCTGAGTGCATCATCCAGCTCATTGGGGATCGCTCCAATCTCAAATACCCCTCAAGACATTATCACTACCGAGCATTATTCGCAATCATTGTTTCAGCAGGT